GTTCTTTTTTTCTAATATTATATGATGTTTTATGAAATGAATAGTTAGATATACTTTACAGTGACATAAAAAATGCATAAATATTTGAGCTAAGATATGGTACAGGTGTAAGTTAGGAAGATTGTTCAGGTATTTATAATGATAGTAAATTATCCACTATCATTTACATTATACCAGCTGTTAGATACAATAGATATACTATACTAGTATTGTATATATGCACTTCATTACTTTCTTACTTCTGTCAACTGTAAAGTATATAGTTCAGGTTAAATATATCACCAACTATTTATTTTAACAAACTTACTCCAAATTTTACAGTATAATCTTTTTAATGTGTGTCCCATAGATCATTATAATTGTCTTAATAATTTATCCATCAGTAAACTAGTTTGTTAGTTTTAGCCTATAGAACCACAACTATTACCAAAACATGTTAGATAAAGTACCTTGTACTGGTAGACAGTTCAAAACCTGTTAGATGTTAGACCTTGTGGTTTACCCCATAACCTGTTAGTTATAGAATCTGTAATTATCCAGTTTGGTGGTTTTGTATGTTAGTTGTAGAATCTTTTAGTATATAATACTGTTAGACAGGTTTTCCCTAAACCTGTATGATGTTGAACCTTATACACAGTAACCCTAACTAAACAAGTTGTAGAAATTTTATTTATAGTATACAGTTATGCAGGATTGCGTGGTGACCCCTTTTAGTACACATATAAGAAGGTGTGCCCTAAACCAGGTAGTTGTTAAACCTTTAAGTTAAGCTACTAAAAGTAGCTTTACCCTAAACCTATTAGTTGTAGTATACAGTAAGATAGGTTAGGGGTTTGTATAACCTTTAAGTTAAGCTACTTAAAGTAGCTTTACCCTAAAAAAACTATTAGTTGTAGTATACAGTAAGATAGGTTAGGGGTTTGTATAACCTGTAAGTGAAGCTACTAAAAGTAGCTTTACCCTGAACCTATTAGTTGTAGTATAGGTAAGCGATTTGTATAACCTTTTAGTATCCACTGATAGGTAGGTTTACCCTTAACCTGTTTGATGTAGAACCATATAGACAGTTAGGTAATTTTATGTTAACTTGTACAAGAATTCACCCTGTAAGATGTAGTTGGATGTTTGCTGACAGTATTGTCTAAAATTGACAGTGTCATACTAAACATGTATTTGTGTTCTCAGGGTTTCTAGCTGCTTGTGTTATTTTGCTTTTTTCTTTGCTGTCTGCTAGTACAAGAAGTGGTGTTTGAATATTGAACAGTCTACAAGTAGAGATAGTCGGCCATTATTGGTGTTATATGAGAATATTGATTGACCTGCTCTATGATAATACCAAATTTTGGTCTACTTTATAACTAGAACTTCCTCTCAGCAATATTTGATGAATTTCAATTAAAGAAAGCTATTACATGTACAATAAAGTCAGGAACAGATTTTAATAAGTCGAGAGAGAAGAGAAGAAAGAAAGATGGACAATCATTGACTTGATGACAAATACATTTAACATTAAACATATACATGTACATTTGTTGTTTTCATTAATTGATGTATTGTTACTGTTTTTGGTGGCATTCTCGCGTAGATGAATAGAAAAAGCTGTGTGGATTTGCTGGTTGTTGTTTATGATGTTTTACCTGTATGTAATATGTTTATTATCAGTGATTGTATTATAAGAAGATATGACATCAGATGAAGTCTACTGTCACTATATGATACAGTATAGGACATTAATGTGATATATGTTAAAACAACAATAATATATAGATACAACGTGATGTTTGATCTATGTTCATGTTACTGTTTCCTCTTTGATCTTCATTTCTTACTGTATATTAATGGGGATGGGAGAGAAGATATATATAGAACAGTAGTGTGTTATATAGTGCTGAACTATTAGTTTAAGAGTAGTGGTGTATGTTAGAGTATTTGTTGGTTAGTTGCTTGGTTGGTGTTTTAATGATTCAGGAATGTTGATGTAATGTGAAAACTGTGAAATGATTCAGTTTTAAAATGGCCGACCTTGGGAGAAAGGTAGGACAGTGTTTTTATGTCTGTTTTCTTAAGTATTGAATTTTTATTTTTGTATGTGAATGTATGTTTTTATGTGAAGGGAAGACATGTTAGATTGTAATTGAGGAAGATAATGACTAATGAGGTAGTTTATACAAGTTGAGTGGTTTTAAACTTGAGTGGCAACCTTTATGAAGGGAGGCTATCTTATATGTACATGTACCTAAAGCTGATCATGTACATGTACCTAAAGCTGATCAATGTTTGTGTGATATTTGAATGCATGTCATTAAAATGAGATTTAGTTTTCAATTGATTCAGAAACTGTCACACTAAATCAATATAGAGACTTGAATACTGCTAGGGTTTGGTTTTTGTTCACTTTTACAAAGCTGTGTGCACTCCTGTTTATTAGAGCAACACTAAATGCTGCAATCTTGCTAGAGAGATATGCACATTTTTCATCGAATGAAACATAAATCAAGGTGAAAACTATCGAATGAAACATAAATCAAGGTGAAAACTATCGTATTACAATGAAACTGTCAGAGGTATTGAAGATGTTCAGTCCAGTATAGAAAATATGTTTTGATAAATTTAGACTGAACTTTGTCTTTGATTGTTCACTGGTGAATGTAACAGAGAAATGTATATGGTATGACCTCACATCTTTAATAACATCAAGAAAATCACTGTCAAACTGACTAGTCAACTTGAAACACCTTGATATACATCTTTATATTTAATGGACCAAACATTTTTACATGAAACAGGTTTTTGTAATAAAGTTAAAGGCATTCACTCTGTGCAATTGGAAGTTTATGTGTTTGACCGATTTTATACAGAGTTTTATATGCATGAAAACCATTTCAGTTTTGTTACTTCACTTATATTAAAATTTATGATCTGGATATAGCATATAGTGTAGAATATTCAGAACAGAACTGGATGTTAGAAAAGTTACAGGAGAATATGATCAGTAATATTTATAAGCTGTAACATGTAGTTTATACCTAACTTTAACTGGACACATAGATAAACTGTAGATTATTTATTGTCTTATAGACCTCTTCAGTTGTGAAGTTAATATTGTTTTGATTGGGTGATAAAAGTGAAAGTTCAGTATGTCATTTAGAGAGAGGACTAAGGTGGATTTTTACAAGAATTTTGAGGTAATTCTTCTAATATCATCATCAGGGTGTCATAAATTGTTAGTACAGACTGTATAACATGATATCATTTCTGTAAACAATATTTCTTGTATTACAGTCAGGGCTATTCAACATCAGTATCATTGTCAACTTGAAACTTGCTTAATTTATGTAATGGATTTGCCCTGCTTTGAAATTGGAACAATCTATCTAGAGTTTAAGGGATTTTGATATCAAAATACTTAAAAATGATCTTTCAGTCAGGCTGCATGGATGTGCAGGCTGGTGTAGTTCTATACTGGTGGCAAAATCTTGTCACTTGGTCCAGCAGGTTATATAGGTTTAATATAAATGACAGATTTCTCTGCTTGAAAAGAAGATGGTCACCAAGTGTGTTACCTAGTTAGTTAGGTAATATAGTCCAAGTAATTGATAATATATTAGTGATTTAGGTATGACACTAGAACAATATTTGTGCCCAGCTAGATAGTGATTGAATTCCTATAGCTAGTAACAATGTTTGTTTAACCTTTTCCTGCTGGAACCAAAAATGATATGTCTTTCCCATCAGTATACAGCCAGGCTAGCTTGCACATCAATGCAGGCGAGGTCTGACCAGGCTTTATAATGTTAGCTGACTTACATCAAATTTTCTTCTTTATATCTCTAAAATTGATAATGGATAGTTCCAAATATCTAATAAGCTGGAAAGGTCATTTAAGAAATTCAGTAGGTTAAAGATTAAGGTAAAACCCTAGAATATAATAGTTGCCTATAATTATCACAAATAATGGAGGTTGTTGAATGTTGTAAGAAAATAATCGTACTAAAGTTCTAAAATAATATCTCAAAAAATATTAATTCTGCAATATAAGTTATTCATTTTTATATTGTGATATAACATTTAAAGAAATTATTGAATTGTTTGGAAAGTAAACAATTAAACACAACAGCTTGTTGTTTTCCTTCAATTAGTTACAAGAAGAAGAAGGAGAAAGTATGTATATCAGTAGTGAAGAGTTTATAGTAGCCCCATACATCATGCCTTGTCAGTAGCGGCCACCAGTAGTATCAGTTTCAAATAATTATCTCCTCATTTTTCACTAACTCTGTGCAAGTTAACTTGATTTGTTTTGTTACTTTTGTAAAACTATATGTGGAGCAAGATATTTTTTACCCATTTTGTAAAGTTGGTTGATATCAGTAGCATAATACCAGAAATATTTTAATGTCTGGAATATAATATTTGACATTCTTTCATGCACAGTAAGGTGGGAATAATTTACTTTATCTTGGCTTTCAGTTTGAAATGTTTTAAATGAAAGGCTCTTTGTTTCTTTTCTTTCATAATTGATAGTGGTCTGTGTATATTAAATTTAGATTAAATTTATGAATATAACAAAATTTTTCAAGAAATCTGGCTCTTCTTTTAATATTCAGTTTAGAGAAAACAGAGGTTTTGTTGGCATCGTTAAACACTGTACTTGCTCAAGATCTTATGCATATGGTTGTAATCTGGAAATCTTTAACTAACACAAAAATTGAGTTAACATAAACTTTTTGTTGAGTTTTCATTTCACAGGAAATTGAAGAAGAAAAAAAGCCTCACAGAGTGATAAAACTGTTCATTTGGATAGTATAATAAGATAGGCGACTGATGTATAGTTAGCAAACTACAGCCGTTTTTACAGATGTAATGTTTTTTAAGATGATAGCATGAGATTTACTATCTACATATCTCAGATAAACGACTACATTTTATTGCCTTATTTAAGGGATTTTGGCATATTACAATTTTGGAATATTTTCTTTATTTTATTTTTTTATTATTTTCAGCTAAGTGCTGCTAAACGTGAAGCCTTCTTTAAAGGACAAGAGTTACCTGCCCCTACACCAAAATTTGACCCTAATGCTCGTTTCACATCAGATCGACCAGATAGAAGTGAAAGAACAAGGGAACCAATAGCTCGAGAACCAATCAGAAACATGGAACCAGATAAAGAGAAAGAACGTGACAAGAAATATGGTGACAGTACAAAAGAGCTGGATGGATATGTGGGATTTGCTAATTTACCAAATCAAGTGTACAGAAAAAGTGTAAAAAGAGGATTTGATTTCACATTGATGGTTGTAGGTGAGTCATAGTTAAACATGGAGATATAACTCTACTGATAATAGTTGATTAATTAGGACATGATAAAAAGCCAATTATTTTGTGTCAACCTGTAAAATGCTTCTAAAATGTTGACTTTAAGTCTGCTATTCTCGGTGAAGTAAGTTCAGTTTAAGGGGTCACCAGAGTTTCATGTTCATTTTAAGGGGTCACCAGAGTTTCATGACTGGTTGGATCATCTAGGTAGTCCTGGTATTGTATATAACATCATTTGATGGTCATTTGAAGGCTCTAGTCATATGGATTACTTTAACTCCAGTTGAAAGTCAATATACCTGATAAATATAGAACAAATAAAGTGTAGTTTCTTATGAAAGATTATATAAATCACAGGGTTTGTAGTTCATAACACATTTATGCATTGTAACATTGGTTCACTGCTAATTTTTGCATTTGCTATTTTTTCATTTAAATATTGGCTGATTCCAGTGGTATATAATTTTCCATTGTAGCCCACTTACTTGTCCAATTTCGCTTGCAGAAATTTTTCGATGCAGCATTATTTTAATGATAATAAGTGTCACAATTTTTGCAAGCATATCGGAAAAGGCATGAGCTGCAAAAATATTTATCATCAGAATTGGAAAATATTTGCCTGGAGTTAACCTATAATGGTCTTGATTAGATTTGAGATAATAAAAAAGTTTAACCACCTATTAAACAAACATGAAACTAAATACTTTAAGAGTTGATTGTTACAGTTTGTTATTTAAAAGTAGTAAAAAACATAAAAGAGATTCCCCATCAGTATAATTATCAAATCTCAGTGAAATATGACCTCTATAGGGGATTAACCTCTATAATCTGGTAAGATTACCTCTAATTTACCACTTCCTCACACAGATTGTTTTCCTTTTCATATATCAGTACCTCTTAAATTGTGACTTTTTCTGTGACTCATTTGTTGTTGTTTTTTTTAAATTTTAAAAATGTTGACAGTTAAATTTCATGTTTATATGAGGTCATACACTTTAAAACAACAATAATAATATAAATTATAAAAGAAATCATATATATACAGATTATAATGTCACAAATTGAACTAATTTCAGTGTATTGAATTTTGCATCTGGTTTTCATAAGCAGCTCTAACTATCCTGTAAATTTAGTATTAAGTTTAACAAATTCAAGAAAAAGTAGCCTTCACACCAGAAGATTTGTTTGTATTCAGTTGAAATTGGTGTTGTACTTCAAATCCTGCTGTCTGTTGAGGCCTTAACAAGTAATTAATGCATCAATGTTATCTTTGAACAAAAACATCATGTTTTAATTTGTTGAAAAAATCATGCTATAATTATATACAGAAAAATGGGGGGAGGGGGGGTAAAACAGGTATCCGAGATGTTGTAAGTGATGATATTCAAGAATGTCACTTTATTATAAAACACAATTACCTGATATTTCTACTAGAAGAGAAATAATAATAAAATTATTTTATGTTCATTGTCTATCTATTATCAGTAGTTGTCAAGAAAGGGCGTGTATATCTTAGAGAGAAGTTCTCTAAACATTAACCATCCTTCACATGGTTTATATCTGTTTAATTACTATCAGGTATAACACATTTGTATTTTAGTGTTGTATGAACTATTTATAGAAATAATAATTGAAGCATAATAAAGTAAAATATTCAGGGAACATTCAGCCTGGTTTAAATAATTGTAGAGAGGATATAAAAAGAATCATTGTTTATTGTGCTAGATAATCAGTGTTCCATCAAGTCTGAAAACCTGTAATATTGTACTATAAATATTGATAACTTTAATTGATTAATATGCTTCAAGCAGGGACAAAATTTAATGGGAAATTTCACTGTGAATACATGCAAACAATATAATGCGATAAAAAGGGTGTTTACAAAATGAGAATGTTTCTCAAATAAAGTAGATCTGGCAGGAAAGATTTCATGGAAACAAAGAAGGCTCAGTTGAGTGTTAAGTGTTCATATTAATACAGCCTGGCATCTAGGCCAAATTCTAGAAATAATCTCAAAATGCAAGATTATTTATCCTAACTTTTGCCAAGATTTTTTTACTTTATTTTTTTATACCTAACTTTTAACCATGATTTCTTTGTTTCGTATGTAAATATAATTTATATAAAAACTTAACAAATATTTTGTTACTGCAAATACCTGTCCAGCTTTTTTAGTTGGACGAAAGGTAAAAATTATTATACTGTCATAGTACTGTACACATTATTCATAATTTGTAAGATGTATGTTTGTGTAGAATTTATGAGGTATTTTCACTTTTCCTTCAAATAAAGGACTTGTGCTATATTATGATTTCATTGTAAAGATTCCGGACTGGTTATATGGCCATGTATGAAGAGGTTGTTGGAAATATCTTAACAGAGTAAATATTAAAAAAAATGTAGATCTCCCATCTCTAGATTCCATGTATGAACATTTTAGACATGCAAGTAATAGTGATGAACATGACTTTGATGAAAATGAAATATTCAGCAGAATTAATATACAAGATAATAATGATATTCTAAATTCAGAAATAACTATAGAAGAAATTAAGAAATGCATCAAGTCCCTGAAAAATGGAAAATCAGTTGGTACTGACAATATCTTAAATGAGTATATCAAATCTACAAGTCATAAATTATTACCTATATATGCCAGCCTCTTTAATCTTATCTTAGATACTGGTTTTATACCCTCTAAATGGACAGAGGGCATAATAATCCCAATTCACAAAATAAAGGAGATTCAAAGTCACCTGTGAACTACAGGCCAATAACCTTACTAAGCTGTGTTAGCAAACTTTTTACAAGTGTTTTTAAATATTAGACTTAACTCATTCTTAGAATCAAACAATATTCTAAATGAAAACCAAGCTGGTTTCCGGAAAAATTATTCTACTTTAGATCACATATTTAGCCTTAATTGTTTATCTGAAATTCTAAAAAAGTCAAAAAAGAAACTTTTCTGCTTATTTGTTGATTTTTCTAAGGCTTTCGATTCAGTATGGAGAGTTGGTCTGTGGAAAAATTACTTGAAAACAATATAAATGGAAAATTTTTTGCGTTATTAAAAACATGTACTCCAGTATTAAATCTTGTGTTTCTCAAAATGGAGAACAATCTCCTTTTTTTGCATGTAACTGTGGAGTACGCCAAGGCGAGAATCTCTCACCTGTTTTATTTTCACTTTTTCTAAATGATTTAGAAAACTACCTCTTAGAAAAAGGGAATTCCGGAATAACTCTTGAAAATGATCTTAACTTTGAGAATCTTTTAAAAATCTTAATCCTTCTCTATGCAGATGACACTGTTATACTGTCTGATAATGCAAAACAACTCCAGGAATGTATAAATGACTTTGTTGAATATTGTGAACATTGGAAACTGAATATAAACATTGACAAAACAAAAGTAATAGTATTTGGAAATAGAAATAACAACTTCACTTTTAAAATAGGCAATTCAAGTTTAGAAATAGTAAATAACTACAAATACCTGGGAACACTTTTTGCTAAATCAGGAAGCTTTTTACATACAAGAAAACATCTAGCACAGCAAAGCCAAGAAAGCACTTCATTTACTTTACAAAAGAATTTATAACCTTAACCTCCCAATAGACCTAATTTTCAAACTTTTTGACCATACAGTATTACCAATTTTAACCTATTCATGTGAAATTTGGGGATATGAAAACTGTAACTTACTCGAAAAAATTCATACTGAATTTATACGTAAAATTCTACATCTTAGAAAAAGTACCCCATTGTATATGCTTTACGCAGAGTCTGGTAGATATCCATTGGAAATAACAATAAAATACAGAATGATAGGTTTCTGGAATAGACTAATTACGGGAAAACAAAAACAAAATTGCATACAGATTATATCAGTATACCCACAACTTAAATTTAAATTCAAAATGGCTAAATAAGATAAAATCAATTTTAGTTGAATCAGGACGTAATGACTTTTGGATACATCAAAACCAGATTGAAGCTAAAAATATCAAAACTATCATAAAACAAACTCTTCTAGACCAAAACATCCAAAATTGGCATGCATCTCTAAATAACTCTAGTAAAGGTAGGAACTATTCACTAATTAAAAGCAATATAAATTTGGACAAACCACCTTCTTAAACTTAACAAACAAGACTTCATTACCTTAATAAAATTTAGGACAGGCAACCATCATTTCCCTATAGAAACTGGAAGATGGAATGGAATAGATTTACCAGACAGAAAGTGCTTGCACTGTGACCTTAATGACATAGGCGATGAATATCATTATTTGTTAAAATGCCCGTTCTTTGAGCAAAACAGGAAAAACTTAATCAAACAGTATTACTATAGAAGACCAAACATGCTAAAATTCAAAGAATTATTGACAAATACCTCCATAAATATGCTGCAAAGAACATGTAAATTTATAAGAATACTTTTAAATGAAATTAAGTAAATTAAAATTACATTTAAAAATAACAAATAAATAAGTAGATTTAAAAAAAGGTAAAATAGATAAATAAATAAAAAATAACTTAGATACTGAGTACATTCCTGTAAGGTACAGACTACAGAATAAATAAATAAATGGTAAAATAAGTAGATTATAACAAATTTCTTTTTGTTAGAATCTTTCAAATTTGTGCTTCATCCATGTTTGAGCATTTATTAAATAATAAAATGATAGAAAGTCCAATGTACAGATATAATGCATGCACACCAGTTCTGTTCACAAACTGTATACATTTTAATATTTATACATGTATATCAAGTATATGTTACAGTATGCCAATGTCTAATTTCTTATTTGTTTTGTTTTCCTAAGTCGTTTTATCATTGGAATACATGCAATCAAGCCAAAGATTTGAACTACTGCTTCCTTTGCAAAATGTACAGTGGCCTATCAGATACTCAGAAAATGAACTTTCTCACCTTTAACCACGTGCTAAGTAAATCCAATCCTGCTTCGATTAAAATCCCATTGAATAACAATACATTTTTGTTCACTCTCAACATCCATCGTAATTTAACTATTATTGAACTTCCAATACTATGTACAGTAGAATTTTAACTGTACACTATCATTCAATAATAACTTCCATTTTGTGTATTGATTTGACCTAAATTTGTGCACAAACTTTTTTAACGGGACCTCGCAACAGTGCCCGTATGTAAACAATGACGTATTATTTACCACCTTCGCATTTCTATAGTCCGTTTCAAACTGGCATCGAGACACGAATACTTTTTTTGCGCGTGTGTATCTACCCCCCTTCAGGCGGTAGCTGTTTGTTTGTTGTTTTTCTTTTCTTTTTTCATCTCTCATTCTCCCATGATAATGATACAAATTAATTTTCCTCTTACAAATATCTTAAAAATAGTTTTGAACTGTGTAGAAATTTATTGAATAAAACCATGTCATGTGTTAAATTAACTAATATTCACTACTGTTATGTATACTCATGTGTTGTATTGTATGTAACTTGAGTTAATAAAGATATGTTCTGTTCTGTTCTGCAATATAACCCTCAGCTAACAATTCAGTTTTTTATTACCATTTATAAATACTAAGTTGTATAACCTGTCAAAAAATCTTCATAATATATAAACTCTTGCAGAAAATGATAATTTTGATAATGATAAAGTTTTATTCATTATAAGATTTAGATTTTATTTCATTACGATTGTAATTATAATTATGTTTGAACAATTATTTATTAGATGTTTATGTATGAAGAAGTGTACATAATCTGTTGTAGTTTGATTCTAGTACAGTAAATCTGTAAAATATAAGCAGATGTGAAAACATACATAACTTGATGAATTAATGATCCACCATGAATGAAATGTTAGCTGAATTAATGGGAGGAATTTATAGTGGTTGGATAGATGCCATGTCATGTGTTATAATGAGTTTATAAAAAAATACATCACTTTTACTTACCATCACTTATGTGTGAACATTTATTGTTTCCCTTGAATATTTGACCTCATTTCTTCATTGTTATAAAGGGGTTGATGGGATTTTAGTTAATAAAGTTGTTAAAACATAAATAAAACAAAGTAATGAAAAAGAAGCATAACCCCAAAAGTTGTTAAATGTGTAATTGACTGTTAAACTTCTTTTTATTAACATTTGTGAACCGATTCAACAATAACTAAAGAAGTTACATTTCAATACAGTTTAATGACCTACTTGGTTCTCTAGCATTTCTCATTTAAACACATTACAGATAGATTAGGTTTCCATAGTAATTATAAACTTACTGTAACATGGTTGGGTTCATGATTTTATAATCTATGTTTAAGGTAATTCAGCTACTGATCTACATATTTTGTACATAAAGTGAGAGTATTTTAACTACAGGTGTCCAACAAATGATTCATGTATCTTAAACTTTGAATGTTCATTTATTAAAAAAAGTAGGAAACTCTGGTCATATAATTATCAATTTAGTTTAAAGTCACAGTATAATAGTCTCAGTAAACAGTGCGAGTTATTTTCTCAGTAATTATTCTAGCAGGAACAACTAACTGATGATGTGTACATGCATTCTGCATGTTATCATCTATCATCACTCACAGTTCATAGTTGACTGGTAAACTCATTATATACATGTACAGACACATGTTCTATATGTTCTTAACCAATAACAAATTCTAGAAAATAATACATGCACACAAAAACACCATAGAAACAGAGTGCATATAGGAAGTATAAGTTTTATTGAATCCACATACAGTACATAAATTAGTGTCCCTGTTTCTTATGGTAGCAAATGTAAGAACAGTTTAATTAGTATATTTCATTTCTGTTATATGTAATGAAAATTGACACTACTGTATATATTTTTCAGGTGAATCTGGTTTGGGTAAATCTACATTGATAAATTCACTGTTTCTGACAGACCTTTACTCTGCCGAATATCCCGGACCATCTAACAGAATACAGAAAACAGTCAAGGTAATATTTTACTGTAGAAAAACGTAAACACAATCATATTCAAATAACTTCGTTTGTGGAAACTGTGTAGTAATAGTGTGTGTACTCTACCATCCCTTTATGAATTGAGGTAATATTTTATGATGTTCAAACCACAGAAATGTTATTTTATATTATCAAAGGCAATAAATGAATCACAGGACTGGAAATATAAAAAACAAACTAGTTTATAATGTTGATGAAAATACGTAGAATAAACCCTAAATATTTTAAGTAGCTTTTTGAAACTTTTGCAAGTTATAATGATTTTGATATAAACATGGCTGAGAAATTTGATTTTACTTAAGGTTTTGAATAATGAAAAGTTTTTCTATTCTTATAGTGGCAAAATAAGTGTTAACATCTACAAAGAATCCATTCAATTAAACAAGAATGGCCCAAAATGATATTTAATGGGAACAATACAAAAGTGATTAACAATTTAACTCAGTACTGTTAAATATAACAAATATACATGTTTTTATTTTAGGTTGATAAAACAAATGTAACATTAAAGGAGAATGGTGTACAGTTGAGACTTACAGTGGTAGATACACCAGGTTTTGGTGATGCTGTTGATAATAGTAATTGGTATGTTATACTTTATTCTGTTATAGGGGAGACAACTATTTTTATATATAAATCATATTGTCTCCCTTTATACATGTTATAAATTTAATGGTAAAAACAAATATTTCAGTGTTTTAGTAAAAGCATTCACTGACTTGTCAATCATATGAAAAAAAAAATCTCAAAAGTTATTTATAAAACTATGATTGTAAAATATTTTGTATTTGTTAACAAGCTTAACATAAAATATCAAAGTAAGCATTTGTGAACTGCTATGATACAAAACTGTTATTTTGATCTCCTTCAAGTAAAAAAGTAGCAAATTAAAACAAAATATTGAAATATGAATAATGATACATGTAACATATGTTTATTGAGTTTGCTTCCTATTTTTGTCATAATCAATGTATATATTTATTTCTGTTTGATTTAGTTGGCAGCCTGTCATAGATTTTATAGACAGTAAATATGAGGAATATTTAGGTAATGAGTCGAAAGTTGTACGCACCACAACAGCAGACACTCGAGTACATTGTTGTTTGTATTTCATCGCACCAACTGGTCACGGGTATGTCCTCTTATTATTTATGTAACATATTGTTTAACTATTACTATGATATGGATAATGCTCCTTTCTTAAAGTGATATTATGCTGTCAAGGTTCATTGAAAACAATTAATGGCAAAATTTACTGTTATATTACTTTTACCTGTTAGCTTAGATGGCCATAATTTCACTAAAAGTTCAAGATGTTTGCAAAATCTACGTTATGAATAAACATAAATGTATGTTAAACAGCTGCGATAAACATAGAGTGGCAGCATGGCTGATAGGTTAATGCATCAGACTAGTAATCTAAGGATTGCTGGCCGCGTGGGTGTGAACCCAGTTAGGGCCAAGCTGTTATTTCTGTGAGCGAGAAACTTTACATTCATTGCTTAGTACTGGTTAGTTCCATGAATGGATTAAAGAGTCTTTCTATAAACTTACAGTTCCAATGCAAACAATCTAAAATAAATTAGTATAAATTAAACTTATGTAACATCTGAACTGTTAATATATTTGCATTCTTAATCTGAGACTAGATGGCTGGAATCACTAGCACTATGACCTAATTCTTACTATGTCGTACTGTACTACTTAACACAGGTAAAGACTTAAATGAAATATATGACTTTCCTGTATATAACATTGAATTATAAAGTTAATATAATCATGCATGTTTTTATGTTTCAGGTTAAAACCATTAGATGTAGAGTTCATGAGAAGGTTACATGATAAAGTGAACATTATTCCATTAATAGCTAAAGCTGACACTCAGACACCTGATGAATGTAGGGAATTTAAAAAGACTGTAAGTCACCTATTATATAATGTTAGTTCTAGGTTGCTGTTTTTTGCCAGATCTTGTTAAGTTATTAAGATATTTAACAGGTCATGTTAACCTGTGTATACCAATTATATATGACAATATAACCTATTAAAATACATAATAACAATATTTATACCCCCACCACAAAATGTGGGGGGGGCTATAATGGATTCGCTTTGTCGCGTCGGTCGGTCGGTCCGTCCGTCCGTCTCCATTTTCGTGTCCGCTCTATAACTCCTATACCACTTGAAGGATTTTCTTCAAACTTGGCTCAAATGTTCACCTCAGCAAGGGGATGTGCAGAACCCATGTTGCCCATGTGTCAGCTCAAGGTCAAGGTCACAATTGAAGGTCAAATATCAAACACAATCATATATTAGACAGTATGTCGTGTCCGCTCTGTAGGTCCTACAATAATTGAAAGATTTTCTTCAAACTTGGCTAAAATGTTCACCTCAACAAGGGGATGTGCAGAACTCATGTTGCCCATGTGTCATTTTAAGGTCAAGGCCACAATTGAAGGTCAAATATCAAATAATCAAAATATTACACAATATGTCATGTCCGCTCTGTAAGTCCTACACTAATTGAAAGATTTTCTTCAAACTTGGCTCAAATGTTCATTTCAACAATGTGATGTGCAGAACCCATGTTTGCTCATGTGTCAGCTCAAGGTCAAGGTCACAATTGAAGGTCAAATATCAAACAATCAAATATTACACAGTATGTCGTGTTCCGCTCTGTAAGTCCTACACTTATGGAAAGATTTTCTTCAAAACTTGGCTCAAAATGTTTCACCTCAAACAAGGTTATGTGCAGAACCCATGTCACTCTTTTGCCGGGCTTCAGGTCAAGGTTCACACTTGAAGGTCAAAAATTGACTTAGAAAATGTTTCTTTAATTTTAACATATAATCTGAATATTTCTGAATCTAGGAAAGGTATTTGCTTGAAACTTAAAATATAAATGAAGTGCTCACAATTAAGATATGCTGGTCAAGTTTCATAACTCTGTATTGCATTTTAACAAAGTTATGCCCCTTTTTTAATCTTCAAATTTACATAACAATCACATATTAGACAATATGTTGTGTCCGCTCTATAAATCCTCATACTAATGGAAGAATTTTCTTCAAACTTTTCTCAAATGTTCACCTTTAACAAGGTTATGTGCAGAATCTATGTCACCTTTGTGCAGACTAAAGGTCAAGGTCAGACTTGAAGGTCAAAAATTGACTTAGAAAATGTTCTTAGATTAAAACATGTTCTTGAATATTTCGGAAACTAGCATAGGTATTTGCTTGAAACTTAAAGATATATGAGGTGTCACAATTACAATATGCAGGTCAAGTTTCATAACTCTGTATTGGATTTTGACAAAGTTATGCCCGCTTTTTAAGTCTTTAAATTTACATACAATCAATACTAGACAATATGATGTGTACGCTCTATAAATTCTATACTAATGGAAGGATTTTCTTCAAACTTTACTCAAATGTTCACTCCAATTGGGCGATGTGCAGACCCCATCTTACCCTTGTGCCAGCTGAAGGTCAAGGCCACACTTGAAGGTCAAAAATTGACTTATAAAAAGTTTAGTATATTGGGAAAATGAAAGGTTATTTGTAACTGTTTCGAACATGATTTGATAATAGATATTTTTACTATTACCTGTACAATTAGTCTTTTTTTCACCAGAGATAATTTCTTTTTATGTATTTGTGTCACTTAAGTTTTTCCCTTAACCACCTTTCCAAGTTGTCTTCTGTAAAGGACATTGGTGGGGGTATGAATCGCATTCAGCGATAGTTCTAGTTGTATCAGTGCTTGATTGCTTTCTTTAATAAGAATAAGAATTTATAAATATGTCGGTGTATATACCGTCACCTTAGGGTAATAACTGGTTAACTGATGTTAAATTTAGAAGTACTTAACCCGTTACTGCACTAAGGTTACGATATGGATGATATGAATGTAATAATTCATTAAAATATGGATGTGACTGACATGTAGTAATAGAATAAGATATTACCTGGTATAACATTTTATACTAGAATAATTTTTGTATCAAAACATACTTATTTTAACCTCTAACCTGCTGAATTTCTGATATATAACTGTCCAAAGTCTGACAGTATAGCGCCTGGTCAGACTGCCTGGATGTGCAGGCTAGCTTGGCCCTATACTGGTCACGTCACAGCAAATATTAATCAGTTTTTAGTCCAGCAAGTTAAAGATTAAGTAGTGTCTATATTTTTTATCTTACAGATTTTAAATGAAATAGCACAACATAAGATCAAAATTTATGAATTTCCTGAATGTGATGATGAAGAAGAAAATAAAATACAGAAGAAATTACGGGTAGGTTTTGAGCTTTATAGATCGGTTTGGTCAATATTAATTTTTTCAGTACATATCACATCATATTCACAAGCTAAAATGTCCATATTTGTATAATATATAATTTGTGTTGACAATGTTCACTTTATCATATGTTTGTTTTGTGAAATATATAATTTGTGTTGACAATGTTCTCTTTATCATATGTTTGTATTTTTATACGTATAATTTGTGTTTCAGGATCGGGTACCTTTCGCAGTTGTAGGTAGTAACACAGTGACTGAAGTAGGTGGTAAACGTGTAAGAGGAAGACAATATCCATGGGGTGTTGTAGAAGTAGAAAACCTCGAACATAATGATTTCCTTGCTCTCAGGAACATGCTTATCAGGTAATACACGTTTCAATGTATGTGCAAGTTGTTTACCTTTATGTATACTGGGTATATATTTAATTGTATGTATGTTAAGTGAATTTACTATACTGTGATCTTGTGAAGGTGCTAAGTGTGATTCATTGTAGTTAAATCCATGACTAGACAAATGCAAGGTCCAAATCAAAATAGTTATGTAATAACTCTTTTATTATATACCTCCACATATTCAAATTATAAAATAAACTAAATAATGTCATTCTGGCTCACATCCTCACACATTACAGAGTATTTTTCTGTCAAGTTGTATTTGTGTCTGAAATACATATAATAAATGGGAGAAATGATATCCATATATGTGATATAAACTGATCTATTTACAGGACACACATGCAGGATCTGAAAGATGTATCTAATAATGTACATTACGAGAACTACAGATACAATAAACTAGCTCCAGCAAATACTGATGGCAAAATTAAACCAGGATCACTTACCAAGTAAGTCCTTTTGAAACTCTATTCAAACTATTTTACTGAGAGAAATATTTTAATGTATAAGATTCAAGATTTTCACAATGTTAAAATTAAGGTGAAATAAAATTAAAGATTGGGTCTTTATATAAAGGTAGAGATACATTCAGTACAGCAAGTTAGTTAAAATGTCTCGTACAGTTTAATCAATTAGTATTTAGGCTCCTTTACACTATTAATGCTAAACCTATGCCGTCTGATTATAATCTGCAGTGTATTCAATCTGTATATATTTTGAAATGTTTCCTTAAAATGGTGGTTTTGTCCATATTGAAGTATGGACGAGTCGATTTTAGATATTTAGCATGGTTAATGTATTAAACTACAATGTACTCGTACATACCATCTTGTCATGTTTATTTTCCATCTAACATTGAAATATTTATTTATAAAGAGATCCACTAACACAGATGGCAGAAGAGAAAAGAGAACATGATGCTAAGATGAAGAAAATGGAGGCAGAAATGGAACAAGTTTTCGAGATGAAAGTAAAAGAAAAGAAACAAAAACTCAAGGATTCAGAAGCAGATGTAAGTATGCTAGATAATTTGTTTAAAGTTTGATTTGAAGAAAACTGTCACATCCCAATTAACAAAACTGATAAAGATTTCTCTCCTCAGAGAGGAAGACTTAAGATTTCTCTCCTCAGAGAGGAAGACTTAAGAGTTTTAATTGTATTCTTCATGTTTTTGCCCTTACGCTTGAAAATCATCAAACGAAACACAAATTCATGTATAGCATTTATTACGCAAGAATTGATAATGCCCCCAAAGTATATATTGATACAGGTTTGGTTTAAACATATTTATTTTAGCTTGATTGTGAAATATGTTCTTGCAACTGATATTAATCATTTTTGAGTTCGCTTCCTGGATTGATAAAGGTGACCCCCTCCGCGGTCGAGGGGTTAGAGTCGATGACTTCTAATCCAGTTACCTCTCTGGCGTGGGTTCGATCCCTGGGAGATGCTTTGGTAGTTTAGCGCGGAGGAAGGTAGTCTAGTACTGGTGTATCTCTCCAGGAACGATGGTTAGGAAACTACCCGCCTATATGACTGAAATACTGTTGGAAAAAGGCGTAAAATGAAACAAACAAACAAACAAACAAAATTGATAAACGTGGATAATGAAAACAGACTAGTCCTTCTTTTTTAGAATCTAAATAATGACTTGTTATTTAATGTTTATTTTATAACAGTTACAAAAACGACAAGAGCAAATGAAGAAGAGTTTAGAGCAGCAACAGAAAGAGATAGATGAGAAATGGAAGATGTTTGAGAAGGAGAGACAAGCTTGGGAAGAATCTACAGGATATAGTAACTCTCTAGAAAATGTCAAAGAGTAAGTATATATTACTTAATACACTTTTTACATATACAAAAATCTTATTTCTTCAAACTGTGGTATAAGTTGTCCTGGCCCACAAAACATAAGAGTTAAACTAGTTGACTGTCCTGTTTCTCCGCTCCCACAAAACATTGAGTTAATCTAGAGAACTAGACAAGGTTGGTAAGTGGTAAAATGTACCATAGGAAAGAGAAAGGAGAAAGTTTTGTTGTTTAGACAACATTAAGTGTAAACACAGTAAATAGTTTTGTATTTTTTGTCATATTTTAGTTTGTAGTCTATATTTCTACCATTAAATGAACTATTGCATGTTTTTGTGTTTTTTTTCCATAGGGACTTCTTGAATTGGTAGTAATTGTATTTTTTGTTTACATTTTTTAGCACAAAAGACAAAGGGTAAATTTTAAATACTTCCTTATTATTCCTGGCTTTTTGATATTACTTTGTCAGTTTACACTACCAAAACTACAATTTATTTTGCTGAATTTCTCTATTCTTTATAAATTAACTAGTGGTAGGGAGAATTTTATCACCAGGATTCTGTTTGGGGTATGGTGACTGTCAGTACTTTTGGACTTTATTATCTTATACCTGTAACTATTTTGTATCACTTACATTTTCAGTTTCATGGAGCATAAAAAGTTTTATTACTGTTAATACTTTATGATGAGATAAGAAAAGAAAAAATTACAATAGCCTAACAGTTACATATGTATTAATAAAAATGTCAAATAGAAAGTTTTAAAGATTTATTTTCTACTAATTGTGGAAAAGATTTAATAGATTCAAGACTAACAGTAGTTTTCTTACTAAACAAGTGGGGTGTATCTTTATTTCGTGTGAAGTATTTGCATTGCACAGTAGCTGGCACAGTAGTTTATTAGAATTACAGATCAGGTGTGCATACATGTTTATTTATAATTATTTTTGGGGATTTTTGTGCCAGTTTTAAAAGGGAAATTTTGGTGTATTTCACTTTGTATTCAAGACTGCACCCCTGCCCTAATTTTTTGAAACCAAAAAGGGTTGGTTTTTTATTTTTTTAAAGGTTTAAAAAAAGGAAAATTTTCACTTTTAAGAATGTGGGGTTTTTAAAAAAAAGGTTTTTAAAGAGGGTTGAAAATTTAAGGAACACACCCAATTTTAAAAAACATTTAAATTTTTTTTTACTTAAAATAAACAAAAAAACCAAACAGGATGACTTGCATTCCTTAAAATAATGGGCCTTTAGAATTTTCCCCACTTAACTGCAAAGGGCCCCTTCCCAAAAAGACTTTTTGGGACTCAAGTCTTTTGGAGTGCACACTGGGACTTTGGGGGTTGTTATAGGTTTTGCACACTAGAGTACTTGGGGTTTTGTTATAAGGAGTGCACACAAGAGTACTTGGCTGTTGTTATATGTGTGCACACTAGAGTACTTGGCTGTTGTTATAGGTGTGCACACTAGAGTACTTGGCTGTTGTTATAGGTGTGCACACTAGAGTACTTGGCTGTTGTTATAGGTGTGCACATTTTAGTACTGTCGTGTTGTTATAGGTGTGCACACTAGAGTACTTGGCTGTTGTTATAGGTGTGCACACTAGAGAACTTGGCTGTTGTTATAGGTGTGCACACTAGAGTACTCACAAGCTGCAACATTTATGAATGCTAGTGTACTCTTGGACAGGAGTGCACACTAGTGTACTCATATGTTAGGAGTTTACTCTGTACTTATAAGTTGCTATAGGAGTGCATGCGAGTGTACTCACTTGAAGTTACAGGAGTGCATGCCATTTTTTTTTAAATGTTGTGACAGATATGCACACTAGTGTACTTACAAGTCCATATAAGAGTGCACGCTTGTGTACTCAAATACCTTATGAGTGCATGCTTGTGTACTTACAAGTCCTTTTAAATGTGCACACTACACAAAGCGCTACAGGAAAAAAACACTAACTGCACATATGTAGTCTTTTGTATTATTTTGTCTAGGTAGTTCACACAGTTCATTTTCTGGATTAAATCCATGTTTAAGCATTTACTCGAAAATACTCACTTAGATTTTTACTATCAGAGAAGATTTATAGTATTGTTGTGTTCAAGTTTACATGAATATTATTAGTGTGTTTTTATTGTTTTCCAGTGCCCATAAGAAGACGAAGAAAGGACTATTTTGAACACCAGGTGTATGGTTGCTATGGGAACAAACACATTGCTACAACAGAGGGCTTCTACAGTTTCAGTGATAAAATACATGTTCAAAATGAACAAACTGCTTATTACAGTCATGTTTTATAATTTTTTGGATGACAGTATATCAATTTGTTTACACTACCCAGAAATCATTATGTTCTGCTCAATAATAATTGTTGTTTTCTGATATAAATAGAAAATTATAATTGAAAATATTGTTTAGAACCTAGTAGTCAGAAAATTTCAGATTCATAGTTTTAGTGGTGTACAGCCCGAATCTGTTTGTAAATGCGAGACACTAAATGTTGATGTTCTGAGGACCAATATAAAACAAGTGCCAAAATTCACCAATGGTCACCTTTATATGTATTGTCAATGTGTTTAAATCATTTATTATTGTTCTGGCAGGAGATAGAATATTACAGTTAGTTATGTGTACTTGTTTTTATGTTGTAGTATAGCAAATAGTGTCATACATACTGAACACAAGAATGAACTTAAATAAATACATACAATTAAATAACCAAAATTAATAATCAATTCCATGATTTATTTTTTGTCCTTTGGAAAGGAACTGACAAAACAAAAATGTTAGTTTTTTTTTCTTTTGTTTGAGTGCCACCTCCATATATTTATATAGAGAAATATTCTTATTGGCTTTTCTTGCCTTAATTTTCTCAACATATAATATGTTTTTAAATATTACAGTAATTATATATATATATATAAATAATAAGTGTATGATACAGATGTGAAAAAGAAACAAACACCTATCATAACTTGGAATGTTCTCAGTTATCTTGCATGCACATTGAAGATTTATATTATATTTATACTATGAAACAGAAAAAAATAATTACTGATTATATAGTCAAAAGAAAATACGTTTTCTGGTTTTGAATCAGTGAATTTGTATAAACTGTGGCAAGTAAAAGTATCAATAGCTTACATCAATTCTTTTAAAGTAATAATTATTTTTGTCAAATTTACTAGTTGGTTTTAAAAACATAATATTTGTTGATGTAATAGATATCAGAAAAAATGGCAGCAGTTATTTTCACTATTTTTCATGGGGGAGGGTTAACAAAGAGATGTACATGTTGAGGTAACAATGAAAGCTTGTATATTTTATGCTGTATATGTTTTGTTTTATAATTTGTTATGCTTGTGCATTTAGTAAAGAGTGCTAATATAAGTTTTACTGCATGTAACATCTAAACTGTATGAGGTCATGTACACTCGTGTTTATATTTTACTTTGTTTTATAATCATGTAGAAGACAGGGTACATGTTTGAACTTCCATCAAGTTTTTATCTTCTAAATTTTGATTTTTATTTTCTTAAGAGCGGACAATTATGCTGATAATTAATTTAAATTAAAGAAAACAAAGTTAATTATTTTTGTTCTGAAATAGCAATGTAATACTATTACATATAAGCTTGTTAATGGAAAGAAAATTAACTAATTATGTAACATAGTATTATCTTTTGTATATAAACAAAACTGATATTTATATCATTTCATCCATTATTAACTTGTATTCATATTTTAATCATTTTGTATGTTCATGTGAACTCCATGCAAATCATGAGATGATTGCTGTATTATGTATAACCCTCATTTTATCTTAAAGTATAAATGCAGTTAGTAGAGAAACATATATTTTCATTATTTTGTTCTGGGATTTATAAACACTGGAGATATTGTCTATCATATATATTATATAAGTGTCCATAAAGTCATGGTTTATGTCCTTAAATCAACCAAAAGTTCCCACCAGTCTTAAGTATTCCCTTTCACAAAATTTCATGATAGTCTTTTTAATGCTAACAAAAATTGCCTTTTATTTGCTCTATCCTGTAATGAATTTAATGTAATTATTATGTTTATTTTCCCAGCAAAAATTCCAATATGGCCAAAGTTGTCGAAAGATCTGAAATACAGACTTAAATAACTATATATTCTAAATGTTTCATGTACAAACACTTAACATTATAACTACATTTTTTGAGTATAGCAATGTGCAATATTTATATATAACCCCAAATTTCATAACCACAACTTCATTATTACTGCTTGTATACAAGCCTATGCTACACCAATGTCTGCCTGATGTACTGATTTTATTATACTTGTATTGATGTTGTGTAGATATTGTGCTTTTCTGTAACACATATTTTATCAACACAACAACGTTCAATACAACAACGTTCAGTCATAGATTTGTTTATGTATGACATTACATTCATTTACTGTAAACTTTTTATACATTTAATAAAAGTGGAGAAATAGACAAAAGTTATTTTGGTTTTGTCCCAGAAAAAGTTCATTGTAATACGGTGGAGAATGCTGTTGACGTAAGCTGTATAAACGGCGCAGGTAAATTTGCCCGTGCTGCAAGTCTACAGTGTATTTCTTCGAATGGAGGCCCTAACACGTCCCAAATGTATTCAATGGGATTAAGGTAGGGACTATTCGCAGGCCAGTCTAATACATTGACATTATATGTTAGTTATTGCGGTTGTATGTGGACGGGCATTATCTGCATAATGGTGACATTTGGACCATGTAAATGAATGAAATGAAGAGCTTTTACAATGAGCATAACGATTAACCTCCCATTATCCCACCCCACAATAAGACTGAATCACCTCCGAAACGGTCCCACTCAATGACGAACCCAACAGCAAAACACTACCGACGGCGATAAAGTCGTTCACGTCCGTCGGCATGGAACCGACCTTCGTAGGAAAACAAAATCAAATCTCAATCAGCACTTTGGAAGCTCAGGTGACGACGGAACCAATCCAGCCTTGCAGTTCGATGACATCTGGTGAGAATTTGACTGAAGTATGGTCGGTACGTACGAACAGGCTGAACGTTCTGTGGACAGTCTGTGGATGAATACCAAACTGTCGCCCACTTGCTGCTGCAGTAAGACGCCTGTAACATAGGTGCTGCAAGACAATATAGTTATCATCGGCAGCAGTAGTTACACATGGCCTACCACTTCGAGCACGGTCGGCAACGTTTCCTGCGACACGGAATCGTCTCCGTAAACGCTCGATAGTCTTTCGAGTACAACCAAAGTGCCGAGATACAGCAGTTGCTGACATGCCTGTATTTACCATCCCAATAGCTTGGTTTCGTTCCTCATTATTTACCCTTGGCATTTGCTAGACTTGTTTCAACGTTGTGACGGTTCGTGAAAAATTCTGTATAGTCCGATACTTTCACCGGATATGGATATGTGCCACAAGAAGCGCACGTGCTAAACTACATAAATTACTTTATTACGGGAACACATGGTTCACTGCGTGTAGGGTCAACATTATGTGTACATCTTACATTAGCTAGGTTTGTGTGAACACATAATAAAAACTATAAAAATGGTTACTTTTTATTTTGGCTGAGTATATTTTAAGTGGGTTTTTAATCTTTTAGCATTCATTTTGTGCATGCAACAATGCTCTTTAAGCAATATAAAATAATAACAAAAACTGTTTTTCATTTTTAAAGGTAGCTTTAAATTAAATCCCTCTCCAATCTGGAATTACCAAATTAGAAGGTAAATCTGAAGATGCAATAAACACAGGTAAATGTAGTAATTAGCTATAAAAGGTATCAACTGCACATAGAATCACTTGTAAGCCGTACGTACTACTGGTAGAGCGTTTCACTGTGAATCGGGTGACCCGGGTTCGATTTTCGGACGACGCAGGTCATTTGTTGAAAACGATCATGAAATCCTTTCTGCGATCATTCGCACTGTACATTTGCCCTGGCATGTACAGAAGTTATTAGTTCCTTGCGAAGTGAAGGCAACTTGTACTGGTAAACAGCTTGACAGCTATGCGGTGACTGAACTGTGCTCTGGTAAATTAAATGTGGCTTAATTCCTGTCGTGATCCAGAGAAACTACCAACACCACGGCTAGAATCACTTGTGTGTAGTATAATTTGACTAGTGGCGGTTTCCAGTAATAGAAATAGTCCTATTTTAGTAGTAATGGGTTTGTTTCAGCATTATGATCGATGCTGTCAGATGCTATAAGATTGCAGTGAACAAGACATTTACACTCGCACGAAAAAAAAACAGTTTCAGAGCACACTTAAAACACAGATGACAGATTAAAAATTAGGAAGAATTCTTGTCTTGAGCAGGCAATAGGTTTGCTCTTGAAAGCTCATTTCTCTAGAATTATGCTGGAATGCAGTTGGTTTTAATTTCAGCCAGTTTGAACTAGGCCCATACCCTTGTTTCACATATATTGCACGAGAAAAATTGTTGTTTATCAAATTTTTCAACTCGATGTTGATTAAGAATAACCCTTAATTTAGTCTTATTTTAACATCACGCACATTTATATTCAATTGAGTACGTCACCATCTTTCAAACTGACAGACCTAAGTAGGCCTACATACACTGAATATTGTGCGGGTAAAACAGAAAGAATTGTATGTTCAACAAATCAAATGCTATGTAAAATATTTGCTTCCAATTTGTGTTTGGTTGTTATCAATTAACTACCGATTACTGGTATTCTATAAGGGTCTTAGACCCATTCGGAATTGCCTCGGCTATTATCTATAGTAACCTCGGAAACAAAACGGATTGAAAGTAGTTATACCACGTGGTTTCAGATGTAAACAGAAACAGAGATAATGTAAAACGAATGTATATATTTGACATCTAATGTCTGTTCCGGTACTCTTATGCTTGAAAATATGTCTGACAACAATTTATAATTTAAATATGCCCACTGATGTTCAATTTTAAACAAATCCGACTAAATGTCAACAGGTTGGGTTTTTGTACTTTCGTTTCTACAACCATAATAATAAATATATAAATAATGTATTGTTTGCTTTTGTACCTATGAATTCACTTTTTTTAGGTGAACTTTTACTACATATATTGGAAATAAACTTGTCAACAACTCCCAGCATTAAATAACTATTTGTTTACATGTTTAGTTTCTTAGCGTAGGTTAGGCCGAAATACACATCCGTTCTGTGTATTCATACTATTGTGTTCGAGGTCCTTATCCGAAGACTGACGGAAAGGGCCGAGTAGTTGCGACGAATTAGTAACGATTCGCCACACTAACGATTCGCCACATAACGATTCGCCACAGAGTAATAACGATTCGCCACAGTTAAATAACGATTCGCCACAGTATGATTATTGATCTAACAATGATTTATTTAGTTATCAACATTTTTTTCCTTTTGATTCGGTATAGATGGATACCGAAAATAAGCTATTTTCGCGAAAATAAGATATCGCTACGAAAATAAGATTTATTTTTGAAATAGTGCATTTATCTGTTTAAATAATTATGTAAGTTATATATTTATGCATTCTTTGGGTGATTTTACAGCAAATTAAAATTTCAGAACCAAAAAAAAATATCTAAAAAAGTACAGTTTGAGCCGAAAATACATACGTACGAATATAGCTCAAATCGCCGTGTGAGCGAAAATAAGATCGGGTCTACGAAAATAAGATTTATTTTTTAATATAATGCATTAAAATGCAATTTTGTTGTTATTAAATGATTTGTATGAATGAAATTATAAAAAATGAAATATTTTGTAATGAAATATTAAACGTTTGTTCGGTAAATATGGTAAATATCCCAAATAGTATAGAAAGAAGGCATGCGAAAATAACCCAAGATGGCGACTACGAATATAAGATCATAACTTATAAAATTGTATTAATTGCAAAAGTAAATTTTCTCTTATAAAACAAGAAAAGGTAGTGGAGTGAGAAAGCATCAAAATAAAAGCAAGAATTAACTAGTGCGAAAAAAAAACCCCAGAAACAACTACTACAAGAATAAGATCTACTGTATATAGAATATATACAAAAAGAAAATCTATACAATACTCTACGAAAATAAGATCTGTAAGTATGAACAATACAACAATACAATATTTCTTTATTTTGTCAAGATTACATATAATGTAACAACAGACAATTTACAAATAATATCAGTATTATAACATATGTGGGTTAACAATTTATATAGAACGAGACATGCAAAAAATATTTCGAAAACAACAGTTTATAAGAATAACGTGTCTAATGTTATGAAAGTTTTGATTAAATAGCCTTTACCAGGGGAACAGTGTAAAAACCGGGCATTTTTGCATGTACACAAATAAGTTCTATTTAGAATAATTATACAAGTCAATTTCTCCCAACTAGTACTTTATATCTAGCAGTTTTCATACTATAAAAAAATTGGAGACATTAGAATAAAACTAACAGTATCTATACGTTCGTAATAATCTCAAATAACTGTATAAATACAAAGACACGATTTACCATTGTGTTGCACGATTATTTTGTAGTAATCATGTCAGTCTAGGAATTTCATTCATAAAGTGGATTTAGTCGGTAGCGTTGACCAATCAGAGTAAATTTTACCTGGCGAGTTGTTTAATTTTATTTATAAGAAGAAAGCAACTTATTGTTTCAAAATATATGAAACAAACATACTTAAAGATTTCAAGGTAGCATAGTCGGTACTATTTAACAATTCATTATACTTGATTACATTTGGATGTTTATAATAATATTCTGGGATATATTTTTTCCGTATGACAGTAAAACGTTTACAGGACATAATTGCGTGAAATTCGTCTCCAAGTGTTCGGCACTCTTCGCAGATACGCTCGTTGTATGGAGTATTGTTATATCTTAGAATTTCTATCGGAAGACGGTGATTAGCTGGTACGAAATTTAAGAAGCGGTATGTACAAGTTTTTCGGTAATATTGTTAAATAGTCTTCTCTTTTATGTTCTTGTTTATACAAATAATATAATTTTCCTTTGTTTGAGGCTTGTAATTTTCCATTCCAATCTGTTATAAATTGATCTACTAGCACTTGCTTTATTAGTAAATGGATATTTTTTATAGTGATATCTTCTTGATTCAAGAATAGATAGGGGAAACCTGTATTGTTTAAAATATCTTTTACTGAATTTAGCCATCTGTAGGAATTATCACTTTGAATCATTATTTTGTAAATAATATTTGAATATTTATTCGAATCATTTGTTTTTAAAATATTCCAAAACCGAATTATTTTCGTATTGATATTTATTTGCAACGGATAACGCCCCAATTCCCCATATAACATATAAGCGGGGGTACTTTTCCTTGTATTTGTAATTTTTCTTAGAAAATCTAAATGAACCTTTTCTATGTCGTTGTTATTTTCTATACCCCATATTTCGCTTGAAAATGTGAGTATGGGTAAGATTGTGTTATCAAATAATTTAAGCTGAAGATCTAAAGGTAGATTTAGGTTAAAAATACGTTTGTATAACAAATGCATCGCCTTTTTTGCTTGGGTTATAATATGGTCACGTGCTTTGTTAAATTTGCCAGTCTGGCTAAAAACAACTCCCAGATACTTATATTTTTCTGTTATCTCAATAGGATGATTATTTATGTAAAATGTTAGGTTACGAGTACCGCGTTTATTCGAGCCGAAAACAATAACTTTCGTTTTTTCTGTATTTATTTGCAGTTTCCATTCGTTGCAGTACGAGTAGAAATCATTTAAGCATTTCTGAAAATCTTGAGGGTTTCGCGCCAGAATAATAGTATCGTCCGCGAAGAGAAGAGCTAGGATAGTTAGAGTTTCTATGTTCTCGTCGGATGCGTAGTCTAATGTAATCCCAGAATTGCCTTTTGATGTCAAGTAAGCTAAAAGGTCATTAAGATACAGGGAAAATAAAAGTGGGGACAAATTTTCCCCTTGACGGACCCCAATATCGCACGAGAACATTGCTGAAGTATTGCCATTTAACTGGATACAAGATTTAACCCCTTTATACATATTGCGGATAAGTCTCAGGAATTTTCCGTTTATTTCAGTATCGATTAATTTTTGGAAAAGTTGCGCACGTGGTAAATTATCAAATGCACGAGAGAAATCAATGAATCCGACATATAGTTTTTGTTTTTGTTTTTTTAAAAATTCTATGAGAAAATTCAATGTAAACACATGATCAAGAGTTGACATATTTTTTCTAAAGGCAGTTTGATTTCCATGGATCAGGTTATTTGTTTCGACAAACCTTGTCAGTCTATCATTTAGGACACTAGTGAATATTTTTGAGAGACAGGATAAAATCGTAATGGGTCTATAGTTTTCCGGGGAAAGTTTCGAACCTTTTCCTTTATAGATTGGAATAATGTAACCCTCTGACCAAGTACTAGGGATAATACCAGTATCCAATATCTTGTTGAAAAGTTTTGCATAGATTGGTAGCATAATATTCTTAGTGCTTTTAATATATTCGTTTGATATGGAATCGGATCTACTATATGCTTTACCATTTTTACATTTTATGTACATACGAAAAAAAGGTTATACGAAAATAAGACCTCTTAGTAAATAATACCTGTATGAAAATAATATATGTATGAAAATACTTATACTTGCACGAAAATAAGATCCAATGGAAAATCATGATGCTCTATACGAAAATAAGATCTGTAAGAAATTAAAACCTGTATGAATTGATATATGTACGAAAACAAGATCTAATTGAAAATATGATTTTTGTCAAAATAAGATATATATACGAAAATGAGATACGTTAAAAAAAATGCCTGCATGAAAATACTATATGTACGAAAATAAGATCCTACTGAAAATGTGATCTATACGAAAATATGATCTGTAAAAAAATTACTGTATGAATTGATATATCTGCACGAAAATAAGATCTCTGCAAACATAAAATCTGTATGAAAATAATTTTTTCAACTAAGATTTTTACAAATATTTTTATAAGGCCTGTGAATATGAAATACGAAAATAAAACAAATGTATTTGTAAGAACATAATATCTGTGTTAGAATGATACGAAAAAAAGATCAACAATAAGATATCTAGCTATATGAAAATAAAATATCAATATGGAAATGATTTATACCAAAATAAAAGATAATTTAAAATACGTGTAATATAAAAATAATATCTACATTTAGTAAAAGATCAGTATATTACTTTATTGCTTTAGTGCTTTAATCAGATAATGCACGGACAAGATCTTTTTATTTGAGAGAAGGAGAAAATTATACAACGTATGACACGTGCACATGGCTATCGGCAGCAATCAATGCTCTAATACGATGATTGGATTATTGGATTTTCGCACTTATCGTAATTGAAACACACTTATAAAAGCCCATCATTAAAGGTGTTTATTGGCGATTTATCACAGTCACCATATCAAAATATAGATATCTTATTTTTTTTTAAAAAGATTTTTGTTATCATACAGATATATTTATACACAGATCTTATTGTCGTTAAAGATTTTATTTTATAAAGACAGTCATTTTCATAAAGAGTCGTTTTTCACATCATTCTGATCCAGATATTATTATCATATGAATATTATTTTCAAGTAAATCTTATTCCTATACACACATTATTTTCGTACAAATGTTATTTTCGTATAAATCTTATTCGAAAACAGACATTATGTTCATACATATCTTATTTTCGTGGTATTATTTTCTTACAGATCTTATTTTTTTCGTATAGATCACATTTCCTATAGGATCTTGTTTTCGTATATATAGTATTCCCATACAGGTAATATTTTTTACATATCTTATTTTTATATGTATCCTATTTTTGTAAGGATATTATTTTCATTTCACAGATCTTACATTTGTAAAAATCTTAGTCGAATACAGACATTATTTTCATACAGATCTTATTTTCTACACTAATAGATCTTATTTTCGTAACCTTATTTTCGTATTAATTAACATTATTTTCATACAGCTTTTATTTCCTTATAGATCTTATTTTCGTAGAGTACTGTTTAGATGTTATTTTCGTACGGTACATATTCTTATATAGATTTAGATCTTATTTTCGTAGTTGTTGTTTCAGGTTATTTTTGCACTTGTTCTTTCTTTTATTTTGATACTTTTTCACCACAAACATTTCTTATCTTATAAGAGAACATTTAATTCTTAAAATTTATTTGCAAAATCATTAAAAATAAAATTAATACTATTTTTAATATAATTTATGAACCATGTAAATCTTATATAGCCTATATTTTCGTAGACGCAATTTTGGTTATATGTTCATGAATGCGTTCTTTCTATACTAAATTTGGAATATTTACCCACGGATTTATATGTACCATATTTGCCGCACAGACGTCTAATATTTCATTAAAAAACATTTCAATCTTTATTATTTCATTCATACAAATCATTTGACAACACCAAAAAATACGTTTAAATACATTATATCAAAAATAAATCTTATTTTCGTAGACCCGATCTTATTTTCGCCTTACACGGCAATTTGAGCTATTTCATACGATGGTATTTTGGGCTCAAACTTCACATTTATTTTTTTTTTTTGGTTCTGAAATTTATTATTTCATTCATACAAATCAATTATTAACAGCAAAAATACGTTTTAAATACATTATATCAAATTCAAATCTATTTTCGTAGACCCGATCTTATTTTCGCTTTACACGGCAATTTGAGTTATGTTCGTGAGAGTATTTTCGGCTCAAACTTCACTTTTTAAAAAAAAAATTTTGTTCTGAAATTTTAATTTGCTGTAAAATCATTCAATGAATGCATAAATATATTACTTACATAATTATTCAAACAGATAAATGCACTGTTTTAAAAATAAATCTTATTTTCGTAGCCGCGATCTTATTTTCGCGAAAATAGCTTATTTTCGGTATCCATCTATACCCTTTTGATTTAATAATTTGACAATGACAATAATTTGATAATGTTTCTTAATACAAGTAACATGAACTTAAAGCCCCCATCGCGGATTTTTAGTTTATTAAAGTAACATTATTACAGGAGTACATTTACAAGAATGTAATTATATGTTGATTAATCATAAACATAAATGTCAATTTATATAAGAAGAAGAGAAGAAATAGTTTATTTCGGTAACTTATAAATTTACAATATCTCGTTACATACAATAATTACAAATATAATAATTCTGTGGTGACATGACAAAAGCAAAGAAAAAAAATAATAAGAAGAACATAAAAAGTTTTAACTGATGACATTCTTACGGAGAACAGACAGCTGCAAATAAAGGAACAAAGAACATCACAATATCATTATCATTCATTTATATATATGTCAAATATTAAAAAAAAGATATTGCAAAAACATGTGATCATTACGAAAATTGATTTACGATAATTGATTAAAGAACGCATATCTAAAATATTTGTCACACCTTTTATTTTAACAAGCCAATCACCTTAAATTGTAGAAATATTGAATTGACGACGAAATAATCATTTAATTATCTGACAATGTGAGCAGATTTCAAAACAATGCGACAATTAAGTAATAAAATATGTTAGTTATATAAATAACTTATCTAAAACGTGTAATGTAATTTTGGTAATAAAATATATTTTTTGTCATTTATTCAATTAAAGCTGTTTTCTTTTAATTTTCCAGTACAATGTATATATAAATAACGAAGTTTAACTTATCTACAATGTGTAATGTAATTTTGGTAATAAAATATTCATGTGTCTTTATTCAATAAAAGCTGTTTTCGTATAATTTTCCAGTTTATATGAATAACCAGGTACGTGTGTTAATATACGTACCTGGAATAACGAAGTTTTTCTCATCTACAATGTGTGATGTAATTTTGGTAATAAAATATTTATTTTCATGTGTTTTTATTCTATAAAAGTTGTTAGTATATTTTTCCAGTTTATATCAATAACGAAGTTATAAAATGTGTTATGTAATTTTGTTAATAAAGTATCTGGTTTTCGTGTGTTTTTTTATTCAATAAAAGCTTTATTCAGTGTAATTTATTTATTTACAAATGAAATATATAATATAAAAAAGTGTTCCATCAACAATTTGAAAACAGGTGTGAACAAGTTTGTACTTGAGCACGTGGCGAATCGTTATTTAACTGTGGCGAATCGTTATTACTCTGTGTCGAATCGTTATGTGGCGAATCGTTAGTGTGGCGAATCGTTACATTACCGTTGCGATTGGTCTTAGACCCTAATCCAATTTAACAACAATGTCAACGTACATAAAATATTATTTTCAAAAACCAATACGTAAAACTTTAGAAAAATTTAATAAGACCATGGTATTTTTTGTTTACAAAACTTCTGAAAAAATACGATATTTCGATTTAAATACTTTTCTATTGAATAATGGTACGAATATACAAAAGCACGACATATTATTAGTACGAATCGTATACTGAAGAACCCGGATGTTGTCAATAGCAACACAACAAGCAAGATGGCGGACACGGAAAGTGTTGATACTCACGACACAAGTAATGAGGCTGGAGACGATCCGTTACAGGATTTAACAGACGAACAATTATATCAACTTGTTGAAGACACGCAGTAAGTTATTCCTGTATATATTTGTGTTTGATTGTTACTTTAATATTGATTGAACAGCTGTTCAGTCGGAACATTTTTTATCAGTGAGACAGTTTGACATCATAAATTTCAGACATTTAGAAATTAGTTTAGTACAAAATAGTAGCAAGTGAAAATTGAAGAGAAATGAGCAAGGAAGCGGGTAGTCCAATAAAGGCAATATATTACACGTTAGGGGCTTGCTAAAGTTGCTTTGCCAAAAAGCAGGACTAGGAAGCGGTAAAACACTCCTACATGTAGTATTAATATTTCGACTGCAAGACCTACCGATTTTACAAACTGATATTAGATCTACATAGATGTTGATATTTACAAGGTAGCGGTAGATCAACTATAAATGTCTATTTAACTTTTTTTTCCAATACTGAATATTATTATGAGGCATTTGTCGCAAATGTTGACTGTCATATTATGGCGTAGATATGACTTTTACTCTTTATCCTTTTAAATTTGCATATAAATAATGTCTTTAATTAATTAACAGTTTCCTGACAATGCGCCTGCTAGTCATAATCAGAATTGATTGTTAAGCAGTATCCTGTAGATGTAGATATGATTAAAAGCCTTGGCTCACAATTTATTGGGCTAGATTGATCCTTGCCTATGTATATTTATCATGGCCTACCCAGCATCAAACATAGGCCTACATGTATGGTAACAGTCACATAATCTATCTTCCATAACTGTGAAACCCCTCTCGAGTACATGACTGCCCATCAAAATCGCAAGAAAGTTAAAAGTAGTTGTTTAAAATGAGGATAAAAGAAGAATATTAAAAATGTAAGAAGAATATTAAAAATGTAAAAAACGGGGCTGGAAAACTACATGTTCATTGCAAGCTATGGCTGCACTAAACTGCTCTGAGTAAGGAGTAGGGCAACTGCAGAGGGTAGGTGGTTCCAGTGGTATACTGTCCTAGATAAGAAGGAGAATTTATGATAGTCTGAAGTTGTTGTGAATAACCTGTATTTCTTGTAACACAAGGGATGGCCATGGTGTGATGTTAGGGAGACGGGTGTAGCAAAATGAAAATGAAATAAAAAACCAATATTTCATGTATTTCTTTTCTTCTTTTTTTGTATAAGCAGCAAGGATTGGATGTAAAATTTAAAAAAATATAAATGTTGTTTATTGTAAAAATGTTCTCCTATTTTAATATCTATGATTAACTTGTATGTTTTACCTGCTGTCAATGGCATAATTTTATTAAAAGTTATTGAACAAACTCTACCTTGTTGATGATTTATAACTTTATATCTTAAATGGCTTAATTTAAGCCAGCTAACATAATGTTTGTTGCTTTTTTCACTGTTTTGTGTATCTACTTTATTTATATAATTATAATTAAATAATTATGATAATAAATATTTAACTTGAAATTCTGCTATTGTGAAATGCAATACTTCCTCATTTTCAAATCTTCACTTCCAAATTCACAAGAGAATTGAACCCCAACTGTCTGGCCATCAGTAAGTTTTATATTTTAGTGTGTTTGACCTGCAGTCTGAGGACTTGGGCTTATCTTGTATAATGTTTGTATCACAAGTGTTTTAGTTAGTAATATTTAGTTAATAGTGAGCCTATATAGCTTCAGCAGTACTAATGTATAAATTTAAGCAGTGTTGGTGTTTAATAATTATCAATTTGTGTTTGAGGAAAAACAAATGTGCCATCTAAAATTACAGGCGTGCCAATGAAGTCCTTCTTACAGAAACGCAAATGTTTGAGAAATACCTCAAACGTGTTGAACCAAAGGATGGAGCTGGAGCAGCAGCTGGCCCTGGTGCCACACCATCACAGTCTTCACAAGATCTTGTTCGTAGAGTTGATAGAAAAAGGTCCAAGTCACGCAGTAGTAACATTGATAAATCCCTGCGGCTCACAGCAGAACAAAAATGTGACATTGCCCAAAGAGAAATTGATGAACTGAGAGAAGAGATTGATAAACTGAAGGAAGAGTCTGAAAAAGTCCTTGATCTATACAAGGTATATCTTTCTTTGAGTTGTTTAGAAAATAATTGTATGACAGACAGTTACTAATTTGACATATTATATTAACTAGTAAATCTTTCACTGCTTTGATTTTCAATATATTGTAGCATTACAATAAACATTTCAAAAAGTAAGAGATAAATTAAAACAGTGCATGCAATGTTTACTTTTCTTTTTAAAGTCAGATGTAAAGTTTTTAATAGTTTATTAAATTGTGACTGAGTAAGTTAACATACTAGAATTTTAAGATATCTATATATTTTGAATGTTATTAAGTTAACAAAGTTTTAATCAATTCTACAGGCAATAATGGAGGAAGCTGATCTTAGACTAGCAGAAACTAAGAAGGAGTCTTATGAGTTTGACAGAGATATAATGAAAGGTGCAGTCAACCAGTCGTCTGGAAAAGTTGTAGCTGAAAAGATTGTTAGATACTTTGATGATAAAATACGATCCAGGGTATGATATTGTTTACACTATAGTTTACTCCTGTGATTAAATTATTTCTCTTTAACCATACATTATATTATTTTTGTAACTAAGATATCATAAATTAATGGCTTAAAATTAATTTATGCATACTATATCATGTTTATTCACTTTTTTTCATGTAATATCACTATGTAAATTTGTAAGTTACTTATTTGTGTTCATATTTGTAATTATGATGATTAAAAACAAATGTTACAGTTTGTTCAACAATTTCTTTCAGGATACTTTGATTGAAAAGTTAAGATTGAAAAATTCTACTTTGAAAGTTCAGAAGAAAAAGCTACACCTTCAACTAAAACAGGTTTGTGATATTTGATATATTTTTCGTATTTCTTTACAATTCAGTTGATTTCAAGTTAAATCTTGCTTACAACAATGTTTGAAAAGTTATATGTATGTGTTACCATGTTTTAAGTGATTTGAGTAGATTTGTAGAATGTGATTAACCCTATAGAACATGACCAAGTACATTTATAGAACATGATACAAATGTATTTAGTAGATTTAATAAACATGATTGAGTAGATTTATACAGTAATTTAGAAATATTAAGAAACAGAGTGTTTACATTTACCATGTTTTATAAGTGATGTCATTTGCCAATGATGTGCTGAATACAACTGTCAAAAAATAACTTGAGACACATCATATTTTAGGAAGTAAACTTAATCTATAATAATTTCATTGATGAAACATGTCATAAATTGATGAAACATAATTTTACAGAAAGAGGAGATGGGTGAAGTGTTACATGAAGTCGATTTTAATCAGCTGAGAATTGAGAACCAGCAGTATTTAGAGAAAATAGACGAGAGGAACCAGGACTTGTTGAGACTAAAACAGATGGCTGGTACCACAATACAAGTACTCAACTCATACAAGGTAATTATATGACTATATACATATATATACCTTGTTCCAGATCACACTCTAGTCTGATACACATTTTATTTCTGTCTGGCTGTATTTGTGCATGTAATACACGCATTAAATGTAGAAAATATATACATGAATATAATGATATCCAATACACATTTGACAAGATTTCCATCGTGAAATTAAAGGCTCTGTTTTGGTTTTATTTTTCATTTTGTGTCTTTTTTTCTTTTTTCTCCTTTTTATCTGTTTGATATATAATTTGTAATCTTTACGAAGTCTTTGATACCAGTAAATAAATAAATAGATAAATAAATACTATTTCTTACCTTTGTATATTTGAACTTATAGCCTTTAAATTTCTATGTACCTGTATATTTTATAAGAACTTCAAATATTACAGAAAAAATTATCAACATTGACACTAGAGTCTGAGAGGTTAAAGTCTGAGATTACATCGAGGGCTGATTTATTGACTAGAATTGATGCCGAAACTACAGTTGTTGAAGCTGTAAGTAAAATTCTCATAACTTTCTGTTTTAATACAATAATAAGATTGTTAGATTTTAAAAAGTATTGTATTATGTTATTTATTTTAAAAGTTTATAAAATGTCTTCAGAATTGATTATACGTTATTAGAATTTTAAATATAATGTACATGTAAGTTTTGTCTGAAGTTATACAAAGTTATCATATCTTTCAATATTCAGATTGAAAACTAGTATTTGGACTAACTTGAAATGATTAATACTAACATGTATATAAAATTTACATGCAATTTAGAAAAAAATTCTTCAGCAAATATAAAAGCTATGAAAGTGTGAAATTTGAAATTCAAGTCATCCTTATTTGCAGGAGCGGTCAAAAGCTGAAAAGAGAAATCGTAAATTACGTCAACAGTTAGCGGATTATCGTGTACCTGAAGTGATGGAGTATGTCTCTGAGAAAGCAGATTTGTACGAAATACAGAAAAAAGTAAAAAGTTGGGAAAGGAAAGTTGAAATAGCTGACGTAAGTAAATTTCCATACTAGATGATTTATGTCAAATTAATCTTGAAATTGAAAATTGCAGAAAAATATTTGATATAGAATTGTCATAGATATAAACAATTGTCATATTTTGAGTTTAAGTACTCTGGTATATTTGCCATAATTATTTCAAGAATAGTGTTTGGTTTGTAGCAGGCTATCCTACTCTATCAGGTGTTAACTTCTGTTGTTGTATGCACTTTTATATCTCTTATATCCATTAAAGATATTCAACTGAAACTTAATTCACAATCATATTTTAAAGGTTTTCTATCAATGACCCATAACTTAACATGGATTATGACTAAATTATAAATTAATGTTTAATTTGGAAATTTTCTGGATAAGATGTTAGTCAGCTACAGATATTCAAAAGTTAATATTTCTCAAGTCTTGAAGGTCATTTGCTTCTTTATGGTCACTTCAACATAGTTTTTTATTTCATCATTCCTCTTAATGAAGTAAGAACAATACAGCATGGTCCTTGTCTGACTAACAGGTTATACTTACTTGTTTAAAGTCACATAACATATATAATTAATTACAATATTCCTACTTTTGCATGTTTTGGGGTTAAAGCTTACACTAAAACAGTGTAGGAAGTTGTGGGGAGGTATAAGGGTGGAAGAAAGTAGGAAAATGGTATTCCAACCATGGAGTGGGAGGTGGAATTTTAGGCAACAGCAAATAATCAAGATAAATCATGAGGAAAGGAGAGGTTGGTTAAAACTTTCTGTATCTAAAATATGATTTATACAAAGTTGGAGAACGACATGATTGTGTAGATGGATTCAATTTTATCCTTTACCTGCGGAATTTCTTAAATGGACTTTTCCAGCTTCCATCTTGAGAATTGTCAAGTCTCATTTTTGGATTTATCTAGATGAAAATTTCAAGTTAGTTTGCCTACAGTATAGAGTCTGGTCAGACTGCACAGATGCACAGTTTAAGGCCTGATTCCAGTAGGTTGAAGTGGGGTTTCTAGCAAGTTTACCTCACATTTTAGCCAGTAAAGGTCCCATTCTAGCAGTTTAAGGTTCGGTTCTAGTGGGTAAAGGCCCGAAAGGCCCGAATCTATCAGGTAATGACCTGATTCAAGCCCAACAGGTTAAAGCGAGTTTCTAGTAGCTTAGGGCCCAATGCTAGCAGGTTAAGGCCCAATTCTAGTGGGTTTAGGCCCCATTCTAGTAGGTTTAGGCCTGATTCTTGCAGGTTAAGGCCCAATTCTAGGGGATTTAGGCCCCATTCTAGCAGGTTAAGGCCTGATTCTAGCAGGTTAAGGCCCAGTTCTAGTGGGTTTAGGCCCTAGCCCCATTCTAGCAGGTTTAGGCCTGATTCTTGCAGGTTAAGGCCCAATTCTAGGGGATTTAGGCCCCATTCTAGTAGGTTTAGGCCTGATTCTTGCAGGTTAAGGCCCAATTCTAGTGGGTTTAGGCCCCATTCTAGTAGGTTTAGGCCTGATTCTTGCAGGTTAAGGCCCAATTCTAGTGGGTTTAGGCCCCATTCTAGTAGGTTTAGGCCTGATTCTTGCAGGTTAAGGCCCAATTCTAGTGGGTTTAGGCCCCATTCTAGTAGGTTTAGGCCTGATTCTTGCAGGTTAAGGCCCAATTCTAGGGGATTTAGGCCCCATTCTAGCAGGTTAAGGCCTGATTCTAGCAGGTTAAGGCCCAATTCTAGTGGGTTTAGGCCCCATTCTAGCAGGTTTAGGTCTGATTCTAGCAGGTTAAGGCCCAATTCTAGTGGGTTTAGGCCCCATTCTAGCAGGTTATGGCCTGATTCTAGCAGGTTAAGGCCTGATTTCAACAGGTGATGGGTTAACATTAATTGTATAAATTAGCATTTATTATCTACTCAATTTATGTGGCATTAATTTGGTGTACATGTGATATTTCAGATGGCTTTAAAGACACACAGAAAGACCTGGCAGCAAATGAAGATCAGCCATGAAATGGCAAATCAGTTCCACATGATGGAAGCTCATTGATTTATTTTACCTTATTACATTTACAAAATATATATGATTATAATGTACATAACTTTAATACCGCATCACAATATAATGATTATCCTTTGTATATAATTATGTTTCTGTTGATAATAAAGTCTGTGATTTTTTTGTTTGATATGTTGGCATTTTTCCTTTATTTCCCATTTGATATCATTTACATTTATATCATCATCAGGTTTTATTCATCAACTTCATGTTATTATTTAGTCATAAATATAACAACAAACTCTGATAAAGTTACTTTCACGCTGTGATCTTTTCTGATATCTTCTAATCAAAGATATTTCTCACAATCAAAGAGAGGACAGTCAATAATAAGTGCAGTTTATAATACATTACAGTAATAAAAGAAAACACAACTGATTTTGGTTGCAGTGCAAAAACTTTAATTGTAGATTTTTGTTGTGATTAGTCCAAATAATGTTTTAAATTATATCATAATGTCCATTTATATCTTCTGTATCATATGTACACTATACTCATCTTTGAGAAAAATATTTTAATCACAAAATTTATTGAATTCTATGAAATTTCGTATTGAAAATGTATAATATGAATAAAAGAATGAATAAAGTTTGTATTGGAAACAGCCTTTACAATTACAGATCATTTAATGTTGATCTTTTCTTTAAAAAAAACTGCCAGTTTTTTTCCAATGACATTTGTATATACATCTTGTGACCATCAACAGTGAGTTGAATTTAAAACATAACATATCTACTTGATTTATAAAATTACAAGAAAACTTATGCCTTTATTGCAACAATTACCAACAATGACAACAGTGACAATTATTCTGCTGTAAACAGATGTTACTATCTGACATTGAACTTCATGTTTATATTGGGTATTATTTTAGTTGGTAACTATAACATTTATATTTTCTATTTATATTTGAATGTGTATTGTTCTTCATAAGAATATAGTTTATGAAAGGGTTTATCTATTTAACAGTTAGTATGAAGTATGATATGGTTATTAAAGTTTGTCAGAAACTGTATAATAAATCTTATTATCAATTATCAGTATTATATACAGTGAATGTCAATGTTTCATTTTCCACACAAGTATTTTCACTTTAAATCTGGAACAGATTGATTCAGGACAAAATAAAAATACTGTATGAGAAGTTTATACTTGTTGTCTGTGTACCATGTAGGAAACTAATATACACAAACTTAATCAGTAAGCTTGCCTGTTTTGTATCATCACAAATAAAACATAAACAAGTTGAATGAATTTGATGTTTGGAGAGAATAAATGCATTTACAAATTATATCATATTGTTTGAACAATTCATTTGTTCCCATGAGATGTTTTATAAATTGTTTCAAGTCATATAGAGATGTTTGATTATGAATAAAGAACACTTATAATTGATTTTCCTGTTTCTTGTCTGTTAACATGTTATATTTATATAAATGTTGGTGAAACCCCAGTTTCTTTATGTTCAATCACATCTTTTATAATGTCCTACATTTAGGAACGGGCACAGGTTAAATTATTTTACTCTATACAAAAGCAATGGCTATTTTCACAGTCAATCATGTTGTACCCTGTAAGAAAAGTAGAAAGGCATAGAGGATATTTGTTTAGATTAGTGTAAGATTGGAATATATTTCAACAAGTGAGCCCAAAAGGTATATTTCACGAGTGGCGCAGCCAAGAGTGAAATATGTACTTTTGGTGTTCACAAGGTAAAATATATATCGATCTTACACTAAACAAGTTTTCTTTTTATTATATTTAAAATAATGTTTAAAAAGACGTTTTTACCAAATACTAAATGAAAAGTTTGCCAAATAATGATACAACGTGCTGTCATTTACGACGTCACGTCAGTAAGTTTGTTTCCTGTACTGTGCATTCTGGTATTTAATTGAAACAATGGGCTTAAATTCAAAACAGTGAAAATTATCAAATTGATAATTTTACTGATTCAAACAGTGAAGTAACAGTTTTATATTTCACTTATATATTTTTATAAACTATCAAAAAGCATGCAATAAAGTGGAAAAATACACAGGCAAAAGTCTTTTGCCTTATGTGACAAGTAAAAAGGTATTGGTTATTTCATTGGCAAGGTGTTTTGCCCTTCATGTCAAGTAGAAAGCCTGAAAGGTATTGGTTGTTTTCATAGGCCAAAGTATAATGCTCTATGTAGAAAGGCATTGGTTTTTTTTCAAAGGACAAAGGTATGTTATATGATAAGAAGAAAGATTTTCATTATTGGTGTGTGTACAAAATAATTTGATAAGAAAAGATAAATCATTATATTGACATTTTTAATTTCCATTTAGCATACATTTGTTCAGTATAAAATTGTTCTATAAGTTCTCTATTTATTATATAGTACATTGTTTATAACATTCATGTAATTCTAACAAATTAACAAACCAGCTGACATAGTTTGAACCCTAACTACAGAAGTCAAGAGTTTACAGATTAAATTTCTTGTAACAATTTTGGAGTAAACTATTAATATATGATATTATTCATGAACTGATTTCATAACATCAGTTCAATTATTTCTTTATTAATATTTATTGTGATAGAGGCATATGTCTAAATGTTGATAAGTAAAAACGAGTTCCATTCAAATGTAACTGTAGATCATTCTATTATAATATACATGTATATCAAATAAATAAGAACAGTGTATAAAACAATTTGTGCTCAAATAGAATATTAAGTATATCTCACTACGAAGCGTAGAGCTTTGATAAGATTTAGCAATGCTCTTTTAAACATTTAAAATGGTTTCTTTTTTTAATTCTATGTTTTGTAGAATAATCTTTATAAAGCAGAAATATTCACATTAGAAACAACTTTAGAAACAATAAATAAATAACAATCTATTGCACAAAGTTTATTAATCTAAGATTTAATATTGATAAACCCTGTGCAATATATATAGTTATATATTTATAACATGCCCTTGGAAAAGTATTTATGTCAATAAATCATAAATGTCAATAAAATTGTTGAAAACAAAGAAGTAGAATATTTCACACACACACATACACACATGTATATACAATATACAATATTTACATTATACTCAACTCAATCTCAATCTAAAATTAAAGGCAACAAAACTTGAGATTCTGATATAATAAAAAAAAACATGAGGTGATCAAAACTTCCTTTTCCAAACATATATGGTGTTGCATCACGAAATGAAAACTGTTATGCTATGTTTTATTCTGTTGAAGATGATTATATGGTTTATATTTACACAACAATATAATTATGATAGCACATTTACATGTTTTCTTATGAATGCTTAATTACACATAGGCAAATAAAAAAAGAAAAATCCACAGATTGTACCATAAATTATGACCATGCTTATATTACCATTATTTAATTGCTGAAATATCAATTCTTACCATATAGTATGATTAATAACAAATTCATATAACAACTTTAGCCAGTTGTGGAAATCTCAACTTTTATCATTTACTATGATTACATCCAATTTATATATAACCACTTTAGCCCATGAATTTCAATTTTAACCATATAACATAGAGTCATAGAATCATAAAAACAAATTTCTGAAATCTCACATGTAACATATAGTTTGATTATAACAACAACAAATTTATATAACCACTTTAGCTGTTAGCTGAAAACCTTTACCATATAACAAATTCATAAAATCATTTTAACAATTGGTGAAATCTCAACTTATATATATTTAATGATAAATGAATGTTTTTTTTATGATTTGTATAATACAGTTAAATAATTAATTAATAAAATGTCTGTTTGCTAAGAGACATGTACTGTCGTAACTTTAAATATTTTCTCAGTATTGTTTATAACAACATCTCTATTTTTATAAATGCAACAAATAAATCTACAATCCCTGAGAGAATCCTAAATTGTTATCTACATATTATATAAACATATTATATTTTCTATATTAGTTTATTACATTATCCAGTCAGTGTACTCCATGTTTAGTTACATGCATGTTAATTTTTATATAAATGTGTGCGGTCTATGTATAAGTTAGATGCTAATAATAAAAAAACAGATTTAAAAAAAATAACAGGAAGAACGTAGGATCAACTGTAGCTGTTTAAATCGTTTCATTTTTTTTATTAGCATCTAACTAACTGACCTACATTTTGTCATGATCTTTACCCAGTTAGACATAACATTTAAATGATAGATTAAATCAATGCTGCTGGAGACAGTTTATTGAAAATAGACTGTGTCAAAAATTTAGGCCTTCTCGTTGGATGAAAAAGTCAGACATTAAGACTAAATAATAGAAACCTCTCATTTAACACAATACAATGTCTACACAAATTTGTATATAATTATTTAAATGATGAAATATTGTAAACAAATCTGAATGAAGTATCACATAATGTGCAAGAAAATTTAATGTTGATTTTTCCTTTATCCTCCAAACATTAGAAGCCATTTTTCTCAAATGCTGGTATATAATTGTGCATGTATGTTGTATCAAAATTTGAAAGTTAACATTATATAAGTCACATAAAACATTTAAAGGTGTAATGTAATGCCAGTAGTAAAAGAGCACTTTTTTTATTATTTTCTGCAGCATATTAATATTGAAATGCTGTCAAATTGAGCATAACAATTTTCTTCTGTGAGGCATCAAAGAAATTAAAACATGATTCAACATGAATAATAATGTCATAAAAATTTATAATAAAAGTTTTAACAAAATATTGATGATAATCTTATATATGATATTAACAATCAATTACATGAGTAATTATAAAACATGAATGTGAAGAACATACTGTAACTAATGGTATAGTTGTTTACCCTTGACCTTAGTAATGCAACCGCAAGGCCAGCCTTCACAATTGTGCAGTCTGACCTGGCTCTATACTGCTGGTAGCTCATTTTTTGTATTTATTTATTCAATTACTTTGAAATTAGAATGGACTGTTCCAAATTGAAAGCTTGGCAATTTCTATTTCACAGATTTGGCAGGTTACGTGTTAAAAGGTCATAAAGGTCATATAGGTAATTACCATTCATTAATAATATACAGGTAGCTGGCATATTACATAGCTTATTTTTGTATTTAAACTTACTTGACCTTTACATGATCTTGACCTTACATTACTAATATTTACATGTCCTTAACCTTACATGACTAATATTTACATGTCCTTGACCTCACATGACTAATATTTACATGTTCTTACATGACCAATAATTACTTGTTCTTGACCTTACATGGCTAATATTCACATGGCATTGGCCTTTCATGACTAATATTTACATGTTCTTGACCTTACATGACTAATATTTACATGACATTGACCTTTCATTACTAATATTTACATGTCCTTGACCTTACATGACCAATATTTACATGTCCTTACATGACCAATACTTACTCGTTCTTGACCTAACATGACTAATATTTACATGTTGTTGACCTTTCAGGACTATTATTCAGATGTCCTTGATCCTTATATGACATTTTTTCATGCACAAAGTCTAATGAAATAATGTCAAAATGAACTAATAATGAAAGTAAAGATAATTGCCCTAAATTAGTTTTATAAGCAGTATCACATAACATAAATGTTGTTTTGAAGACCATGTATATAATTATGTATGTGCATATATGTACATCAAAATATGATAAGATGTACAGAACAATTAGTATGTAATACCTCAGATTTAACATCAGCAATGTAAATATTTTACACTTCACATTCAAGATTTATTTACAAAATAAGAAAAAAAAAACAAAGGGATTAAACTAACCCTAACCACTAATGAATGGGATAAAATGCTAAGGAAAGGTGTCTACTGCAAATACTTATTTTATTTTACATCACAGACAATTTTAATGCTGAAAAGCTGAACAAAGTTATAAAAAACAATATCATTATATACAATATTTTTGCTTTATAAGATATGAATGTACTGATAATGTTGTACACCAATTAACTGTTTGAACACTAAAAACACAAATGATTATTTTAACAACAAAAGTGGCTTACATTCAACGGAGAACACTCAAGAGTTCAAGAGTACCCAAAAACTTGTATTATAATATTCTCATGTACTTGAATTCTAAGCAATAAGGAAAAAGATAGTTAGTTTATTCTAAGAACAGCACAGAATTTATTGTTTGTATGAACAACATAGAACCTAGATTTTGTTATTTTAACATTCACTTTGAAGCAAACACAGTTGTTCTAGCATGTAACATATCAGTGTAAGCTAGTCAATGATATGTATACACTGACCCATATTTCCCACCATAGTTTACAAATGTTTTACTATTTTTATAAATGTACAACGTTACACATAAGGCATAACAAGGATAATAATAAAGCACTCAAGCATTTTATTCTTCCTTAATATTCATGCTACTTCAAGTATTTACAAACATATTTTGAAAGAAATTTGTCAGTATATAATTATAATACAGTTGCCTCCCTTGCTACATCTGCAAACTTTTAAACAAAACAAAATGTGCTTTCAAATGGAGATCTCCATAAGTGAACTTAAAGATTTAGATGAATATTGACCAATGAAATACTTGATCACATTTTTTATGTAGCTTAATTCCTTTAAAATCTATTTAACAAACTGTTCCTAAAATACATCAAACACTTTTAATCCATTTTGAATGAGAGATTTGTTATTGTCAGTTGGGGGGGCACTATAGATTATAAGAATCTTACATGGAGCCGGTTCAGACCGGAAAATCTAGCTAGAGGATAATTGTTTAATGCAGTAATGAGGCTCTGTGGAATTTCCACTAAACAGTTACCCAAGAGCTACATATACCATCTTTGACAATAGCTTGGTTTTTTTAACTTTCATATTACTAAACAGTTACCAAGGAGTTACATATTTCTGTCTTCATTCATTCATAACTGCAAAATTATGTCATCTTAAGAAGGCAATTCATTCATTAAAGGCGAGTGGGAATGACATCATTTAAAACACGAGACTAATGTCTTACATAGGGGGTGTAAGACAGATTTTTCTAGCACCGGGTAAAAGATAAGATAGTCCTGTCTGATATGCAAGAAAATGAAATATGTGATAATTATCAATAGAAATTAAAATGTAATGCAGCTACAAGCCTTTCACACAATTAGATATTTTATCAGTGGAGAACAAGTGAATGTCATTACACTAAATCGTCAAATTGTGAACAAGTGGTGTGAGTCAATGTCATTACACAGCATTGTCAAGTGGTGAGCAAAAATGATGTAAATCATATCTAAAAACATTTGCTTTGTCCAGTGGGGAAGTAAGTTGTGAAAGTCAATGTCATTACACAGTGACATTTGCTTTGTCCAGCGGGGAAGTAAGTTGTGAAAGTCAATGTCATTACACAGTGACATTTGCTTTGTCCAGAAGAGAAAGAAGTAAGTAGGATAAGTCAATATCATCACAAAAAGAAAATCATTTTGACAGTGACAGGAGGTCAGGAATTAGAGCTAACTTATGTTCTTAGTTGGAGCTTACCATGTCTAAAAAACTCCTATATTTTTTAAAACTAATATACTCATTTACTGTCATGGTTATCAAGTAGCTGCCATGCTAACAACATTTATTGCAAAGATTACTTGACTTGCACATTAATTTAATCTTTATTAAATACAAAACACTTCTAGAACCGGTTATTTCTCGTCATATCAATTCTCTAACCTGGAATGTTACATCAAACACCTTGGCATAACCAAGCATTCAGGACTTGCTCAATGTTGTCAGTATATATAAATACCCAACATGTGTCCTCTCTGTGTAATGTAAGGTTAATCTTTAACTTTGGTCATTCTTAATAACCATTGTCTTAATCTTTTTATTTTGTTGTTGAACAAATTTTGAAAAATCTATTTGATTTTAATAGACCTGTATGTCTTTGTACTTATTGTTATTATTACCATTAAGTTTTTATCAATAAACTCCACATATAAGGAATTTCATTTTTCAAAATTTCATTTTTCAAAAATTCCTTGTAGGTTTTTACAATGTTAATCTTTAACAATTGCATGTAATACTGTGTGTAACTATGTAATATGATTGTGAAGCAGGTCACTTTTGTTTTAATACACACATTTACTTAACATGACTTCTTTGTGTACTCAGATCTGCTGTGGGAAATATAGCCTAGCTTAAAACTGTAAATTTAACAGCTCCGTCATCTATAGAAGATTGTACTGGCATGTCATCGTTATCTCTGTATGGTGGATTTCCATTTGGTAATTCAAGTCCGGAGTCCGTTTCATCAACACTGCTCACTGAACGTATAAATCTAGCTGTACTCTGGGTGTGACCGTGCATCTCTGCTTGTATTTGTTTAGAATAGTTCCAGTTGAGGATTCTAAATTTTCTAAGTAAAGCTATGACTGGTATACAACCAACAGCCGAGAAGACTAAGATAGCAGCGACGAGAGCACCATACCAGGGATATCCCATATCAACCATTGATGCCTGAAAAATAACATTATATCATTACTATTATTATCTTAATATCATAATAACCTAAAGCAGACAAAATATGACATGTAAACACTCCAAATGTTTAAGGTAGTCCTGATTTATAATCATTTATGACATGTCAATGGTGGCGTAAGATTATAATCATTTTAACTTGTTTTATATGTTCAATTAAAATTTTGTTCTTGTAGAATTTAATTTTTGATCATAATTGTTGTACCAAATACTTGTTTTTATATAAATATATTTATGTTGAAATAGTTCTACACCCTTTTATCTAAAAAACACAATTCTGTTCAAAATGAAAACTTTCAAAACATCTATACAGAATTTTATTATGACTAAACATGTTATTCATATATCGAAAATAGTGAATCATTTTACATATAAATTATACATTTATTGTCTATATACATATAATAACTTTAAAAAATATAATTATAACTTCTATCTTTAACTAGTATTCACAAATCTGAACTATTATATGTAAATCAAAACTATTATCTATAAATCAAAACTATTATCTTTAACTATTATCTATTACATGTATGTGAACTATTTTATATATCTTTTGTCTATATCTTTTATCTATAACTATAAACTAATACCTAGTATAAACTATAACTATTATCTACAAACTAAAACTACAACTAATATATATATATACACAATGTATTATTTGTAACAATTATCTAAAACTTTAACTAATATTTATAACAATAACTTTTATCTATAACTTACATCATGGTATAAAATCATTAACAAACTTACAGTTTCAGCATTATAGGCCTTGTATGTGATTGGGCTGAGGAAATATTTGACAATTGTAGCTAGTAGAAGTCCAAGAACCAGGAATGGAGCAATAAATTTCCACACTACCTTCCAGTAAATATTAGGCCTACTTCCAATCATAAACTCAATGTCATCTGCAAACCTGAAAGTCCGAAATATATGTGTACCTCCTGAATTAGTAATTTCAAATCAATATATGACAAACATACAAGTAATATAACATTATTTATAAAAGAAAAGAGTTAAAGGATATGTTTATACATGTAAATGATGATTAAGTTATAAATTTACTTTATTTTTAACTAAAACACATAAATAACAAGATGTTTGTTGGTAGAAATTGACTGGAATCATTATTTTTTAGTTATAAAAAAAACCTCAAACACATACCTTATTGTGAAACATTTAGCAATGTCTTACTTGTTAACCCCATACACATTTTCTAGTGTGATACATTTAGACATTTGTTAACCACATTCACATATCCTATTGTGAAACATTCAGACATTACTTACTTGTTTACCTCATGCACATATCCTATTGTGAAACATTCAGACATTTATTACTTACTTGTTTACACCATACACATATCCTTTTGAGAAACATTCGGACATCACTTACTTGTTAACCCCATATACATTTTCTATTGTGAAACATTCAGACATTACTTACTTGTTAACTCCATACACATATCGTATTGTGAAACATTCAGACATTACAAATGTACTTACTTGTTTACCCCATACACATATCCTATTGTGAAACATTCAGACATTACTTACTTGTTTACCCCATACACATATCCTATTGTGAAACATTCAGACATTACTTACTTGTTAACACTATACACATATCCTATTGTGAAACATTCAGACATTACTTACTTGTTTACCCCATACACATATCCTATTGTGAAACACGGACATTACTTACTTGTTTACACCATACACATATCCTGTTGTGAAACATTCGGACATTACTTACTTTTTAACACCATACACATATCCTGTTGTGAAACATTCAGACATTACTTACTTGTTAACCCCATACACATATCCTGTTGTGAAACATTCGGACATTACTTACTTGTTAACACAATACACATATCCTATTGTGAAACATTCAGACATTACTTACTTGTTTACACCATACACTAATCCTATTGTGAAACATGCGGACATTACTTACTTGTTAACACTATACACATATCCTATTGTGAAACATTCGGACATTACTTACTTGTTAACACCATACACATATCCTTTTGTGAAACATTCAGACATTACTTACTTGTTAACACCATACACATATCCTATTGTGAAACAATCAGACATTACTTAATTGTTAACACCATACACATATCCTATTGTGAAACATTCAGACATTACTTACTTTTTAACACCATACACATATCCTATTGTGAAACATTCAGACATTACTTAATTGTTAACACCATACACATATCCTGTTGTGAAACATTCAGACATTACTTAATTGTTAACACCATACACATATCCTGTTGTGAAACATTCAGACATTACTTACTTGTTAACACCATACACATATCCTATTGTGAAACATTCAGACATTACTTACTTGTTTATCACCATACACATATCCTATTGTGAAACATTCAGACATTACTTACTTGTTAACCCCATACACATATCCTATTGTGAAACATTCAGACATTACTTTCTTGTTAACCCCATACACATATCCTATTGTGAAACATTCAGACATTACTTACTTTTTAACACCATACACATATCCTATTGTGAAACATTGGGACATTACTTACTTGTTAACACCATACACATATCCTATTGTGAAACATTCAGACATTACTTACTTGTTTACACCATACACATATCCTATTGTGAAACATTCAGACATTACTTAATTGTTAACCCCATACACATATCCTATTGTGAAACATTCGGACATTACTTAATTGTTAACACCATACACATATCCTGTTGTGAAACATTCAGACATTACTTAATTGTTAACCCCATACACTAATCCTATTGTGAAACATGCGGACATTACTTACTTGTTTACACCATACGCATATCCTGTTGTGAAACATTCAGACATTACTTACTTGTTAACACCATACACATATCCTATTGTGAAACTTTGGGACACTACTTACTTGTTAACACCATACACATATCCTATTGTGAAACATTCGGACATTGCTACGGTGATAAGAGGGAAAGAGCCAGCAAAACTGTCAAATAAGGCGACCCAGTATGATCCACTTCCCAGTACAAATAACATACCAACAAGACAGCTGAAGCCACAAATAAGTCCTAAAATTACAAGAAAGATTTTATAATGTTATTAATAAATAGAGGATATTGAATGAGTGTAGTTTAATACTAAATTTATTGAACGAGTTGAATTAAAACATATTATGCGAGCCTCGAGTTCAATAAATTTAGTATTGAATCTACACGAATATAATATTCTATTTATCACATATATAAAATAAGAACAGTAAACTGTTAAAATGAGTATTTTTTCAATGACGCGTCTATAGTGTAACGCTAACATTAGCGCGCTTTAACGCTATGTTTCTATATAGCGCAAATGACGTCACATCAAAGTTTTATTACACTAGTGTAATATCGTTTTTATTACATGGCTTTATTACACTCCTGCGCCGCAGTTTATGTGATAAGTCCTAAAATTACAAGAAAGAATCTATTATAATGTTATTCAATACAGAAAAAAACTTACAATAAAATTTTTTGTAATTTGTTCATTCTAGAAAGGTAACTTTGTTGAAGAATAGGGAAATGTTGTAGTCAAGTAATAACCTGGTGCTAAAAACATTGCAAATTTTAACTTTACTTACTAATGCAAGGAGTGAGTGGCCTTCAGTTAATATAGTATTACTTGAATTTTTGTTATCATATTTAAAATGTCACCGTCTGTACCTCTGTGTCCGTTGATATCAATGTTAAATAGTGAAATACATAAGATATTTTGCCAGAAGGAAGTACATGTATGTGATGGTCATGTGTTTATATTATGTATATATTATGTGTATGTTTTGTGTACATTATTTGAATATTATGTGTATATTATGTGTGTATTATACATATAATATGTGTATATTATACATGTATGTATATTATGTGTTTATTATGTGTATATTATGTGTGTATTATGTGTATATTATGTTTACATTATGTATATATTATGTGTACATTATGTATATATTATGTGTACATTATATATTATGTGTGTATTATGTGTGTATTATGTGTATATTATGTATGTAGTATGTGTATATTATGTATATATATTATGTGTGTATTAAACATGTATTATGTACATAGTTCATTATGTATATATCATGTGTACATTATTTGTATATTATGTATATAGTATGTGTACATTATGTGTATATTATGTGTATATTATGTATATATTTTATGTGTATAATATGTGTGTATTATACATGTATTATGTGTACTATATGTGTACATTATGTGTGTATTATGTGTATATTATGTATATATTTTATGTGTATAATATGTGTGTATTATACATGTATTATGTGTACTATATGTGTATATTATGTGTACTATATGTGTATATTATGTGTATATTATGTGTACTTTATGTGTATATTATATGTATATTAAATGTCATGCAGTAATCACCTGTAGTATAGCTAGATATTGACAATGTGTGTAACAGCTGTTGGTTTAAACAAATATTGAAGCGTCAGTTTTGTTCTGTAACAAGGTTGATTCGTCTTACATTAATGACGTCATTCACATATCATATTCTACTTTAATAAGAATAGATTGTCACTGCCGCTTACATTTCTAAATGATGACTATTCCACATGGATTACAGCAATTACTTTTTTAGTTTTTTATACAGATCATGACACGACATTAAGTAGGTTTCCTGTTACCAAGAGCTTGCACTGAGCGGTAAGTTATTCACAAATTTAAAAAAAAACTGTATAATATGGTAAACTCAACACTAAAATATGTTATTCGTAACAATCATTTTTATGTAAGAAGACTTTTTTCTTAGATTCTTATAAAAATTAACGTCAGCCATAAAGATTGTACATGAATTATTTTTACTGATTTACATTTAACTGCAAGAATTTATTTTCTTTTACCTAAATTATTTCACATCAGAAACTTTACCTGAGACTAGCCATTTTTTCCGTGTAATCGCCGGAAATGGTTCCAGATCGTAAATGGACGCTGTGAATCCCTCGATAGTCCCGAACTCACTACCCATGCCAAGGGATAACAACATCATAAAGAAAATAATTGACCAGAACGGAGCTGAGGGTCCAAACTCAACAATAGCCTGAGTGAAGATTATGAAAGCGAGGCCAGTACCGGAGGCTGCCTGTAAGACACATAATAACATGAATAAACCAGTTTAAACATATGTTATACATGTATAAATAAGATTTAATTTTAGGAACATGATATTAATAACATGTATAAAATAAATGAAACAGTAACATAATGATTTATGTTTTTTTGTCAGCAGGAGATGGCTATTCTATCATTGTCAGCAGGAGATCGGCTATTCTATCATTGTCAGCAGGAGATCGGCTATTCTATCATTACGACATAAGTAGAGCACATCTCCCTCGAGTTCACATTTACATTAGTACGCTAGAGATCTTATTACGTAAGCTAAAGTTTGAGACATTGGCTGCTGCCGTTTAACAGTTAAATATTCATCACCATTTGTACAATTTATATTTTATCATCCCTGGGAAGGCAGTTCATTCATGTTATAGTGGACACGAGACAATGAAACACGTCTGACAGCTAACATATGTCAGACGTTTTATTATAGCTTTTAAAAGATAACGAACAAAAATAATAATAATTAAGAAAAGATGAAAGATCCTCCTAGCAAATATTAACTACTCTATATCAATACAATGTATAACTTGTTGTTGTAAATAACGACCTTAACCTAGTTGTTATTGTGACGGTTGACCACACAACCATAATACGATACTAGTATCTACTAGTTTGTATTTTTTTGAAAATTGCTTTTTGCGACGTTGTTACATGACATTAAAGAACTAGTTTGGAATGTAGATATCCCCACCCCCAGATTTACGATCTGCACTTTTTTGTACTACATTTAAACTGACATATACAAGTAAATGACCTACTTAAAGCGACACGTCAACAAAAAAGCAACTTTTAAAAAAAATAAACATACGAAAATAAATAAATAAATAAATAAATACATTTTGTTGTAAATAAATAAATAAATAAAATTAGTTAAGAAAAGTGTATATTTGTAAAACATATAGAATCGTTATAAACTAGAACAAATTTTAATTTTTCATGAATCTTGATGCAGAAAGCTTATCCAGATACAAATAAACTACGAGCTTATGTACAAATGTATTTACATAAAAAAAATTAGTTTATTTAAACATTAAAAATATTCACTGTACTAAGCCAGTGTGAATTTGTTTGTTTGTTTGTTTATTTATTTGGGTTTCAGGTCACACCGACACATTATATGTCATACGGCGACGTTCCTGTTTAACTGGCGGAGGAAGACCTCTGCATTATTTCAGACACGAACGGGCAACTGAGTAGAACGACCGACGTTCCGTAAGCTAGCTGGATAGCTTCCTAACATGAAAGAATCCAAAGTCCCTGTCGGGATTCGAACCCACAGCGATGAGGGGCACGTGGTTTGAAGTCAACAACCTTAACCACTCGACCACAGACGCCCCTGTGTGAATTTGTATGACAACAGATTAGACTGCATATGTCTTTAACATAATTCTATTACATGACTAACATAATTCGAGAACTGTGTACATTAACAACGGGGTAGGGAAATAAGGTAGTCGTTAAACATAAACGACAAAAGCTTACATTGTTAAGATCATCTTCTAAACTGCATGTCCATGTATTATTTGGTATCACGTATGACGTGGCATATGACGTGGCGTTAGCTACAGAAACAACAGTTTCGTTTCCGGTTATCATATAGGTTGTCTGCCATGCCTCCTCGGTAAGATTGATAGCAAGTTCTGGGTTCGCAAGTCCAAACATCTCAAAATTACTGTAAATAATTCAACTTTAGTTCGCCAAGTGCAATGAGTTAAACATCTTAATGTTAGCAGATTTCTTTAATGTGATACAACATTTTCATAAAACTGAACAATTTCATTTTTAATTTCTCATCATTACTATTACAGAATTTTACGGTTGGACAGAGTATAAACTGAGGGCTATATTTTACAGTTGCTTCCAGTGTTACAACAACATTTCTATTGCTGTTTACCGTTTTTTACTAATATTTTATACATGACTTTAATTGATTATATATAACAACATAAGATTAAATACTAATTTCAGGGTATTTTGTTCCAGGATTTTGGGAATATGACCCATACCCATGAAATTGGAAATTTCAGCGATATTGTGTTAAATGCATTACTAAAATTTTACAGTGCCAAGAATCACCGTATAGAATGGCATCTTCAAACATTTAAGCATCATAACGGTGAAGAAGTCCTTATTTTCAAAGATTAATAACGCGTACCTGAGAAAACGGTCATACAAGCGAGAGACCAAACATGGTCTTTATATACAAATGGACTTTATTTACGGCATTACTGAGATTGTTTTTAATCAATAAAGGAATGTCTGGGGTGACCTTTATTTTTCGGAGGTGGTCTTTATGACTGTTTTTACATGTAATGGGATATGTAATTGTAAACTATGGAAATATAAAGTCGAATATAACTAAGAATAAAAAATAATCTACGATTTATATGAACAAAAGATTAAAACATGGATGTATAAAGATTAGAACATCTATGTATAAAGATTAAAAGTTAAAGAGATTGTAAATATAATCTGCATGTCACATCCAGCCCACATTGTAATAACTAAAATATTCTGATATATCGCCAGCAATATTCAGATGAATGTCAAACATAACCAATGTTGTACTTGAAGTTCATTTATAACATTGCGTCATTTCTTTGGCACTGTGTATATTATATTAATATGTTAGAGGTGATTTTTTGTTATTTCAATGCCATTTTATTTGGCAGTATATCATTTAGTAAAGAAGAATCATTAATACATGCGTAAATTGAAAATATAAATGCAAAGTATATCAATTTGTGTAGCTGAATAAAGTAGTGATCGAATGTTTAAAATTAGGTAATTCTGCTGATTTATTACGTCATTTAAACACGATATATGGTACATGTATATATAATACTTTCAACCTTCGTCAGTTTGCATTTACAGTCTGCATGCATGTCTGTCTCATGGAAAAAAAACTAAATTACATTATTACTGTACTCTATGTTTCAGACAGAGGACTCATGGTTAAAGTACAGTATAGATTACTTACTGTTTCAGACAGTTCTCATACATGAGTGTGGCCTTGAAACCAAGGACGGCAAAGATGACAGTTGAAGCAAAGAGTGCCGTAAACCAGTTACACATTGATATCATAATAGCGTCCCTTTGTACATTGTTGTGTACATTGTTATAACTAGAGAACGCTATCAGACCTCCGAACCCTAAACCAAACGAATAGAATATTTGAGTTGCCGCGTCTAACCATACTTGCGGATCACCAAGCCGGTCAAGCTGGAACAAGAAAACAAGGAAATAGATATACATAACGGGTACATACAAAACCCGCTCATCAATATATGCGCATATAATCACAAACATAGCATGTACCAGACTTCCCCGAACATTCGCATTAACTACCGGTACAATTTATCGTATGAAATTGTGCTAGAAAAATTTATAAAATATATACATGTATAAGTAAATTTTTATAACAATATATCGGTCAACAATATATATGAAACGTCTGCCGGATTGATCTACAATACATACAACAAAACAAAAAACTTAGGAACTCTAGGAATGCTTCCACCTGACAACATTGATGTAACACAAACTTATATAATGACGCACGCGTATAGATATGCAGCTGAACAAAAATAGTTCCTCGTTCTGTTGCAGATATTTTATTTAGAAATACCTTTAGGTAAGACAATTTAAATTAGGTTTTCTGTGATCTAAAACTACGTCTTCAACTTATTGTAAATATTTGCTTTGCTTTGATGTTTATACTTGATAAAAAAGTAACTAAAATCTGTCGACATCATTGACAAATTATTCTTTTAGATATAACCTTGAGTAAACAAGCGAAACAAACAAACCCTGAGCAAATAAGTAAATAATAGAAACTGAAGTCAATGAAACGTTGAAAGTTAAAAGTTGTGAAATATCACAAATTGTTATTATTATTATCATTTTATTATTATCATTATTATTTAATTATTATCATTATTATTATTTCAGCCTTATCAAGTAACTATAAAGGAAATTCTATATAAGCAGGAAAACTAAGTTTTAAGGTAATTTATTAATGACACACAATGCCACGCTATCAATTTACGCAGACGAGAATGACGTCACAAATACTTATTCAAATTAAGCGTTCGGATGTCTTGACAAAATGAACGTGCTAATGTACTTATCCTTCATCGTTTATCTTATAACATGGACAAAAGTTGTATGTTGTATACAAGACAGAATCAATGTCTTTTACCACGAAACTTGAATATTTTTCTAGATCACAGTGAATGGTGACGACTTATTTCTTTGTTAGTTATTAAAGCAGTATACATTTCATCTTCCTTAATTTTCCTCGTTTTTTTGCATGAAAACCTCTCGGGGTGAAGCAATTTATCACAAAACATTTATTTATGTGAACTGTCATATTTGGTGACATTGTGTTAAATAACATAACATAAACATACACCCAAACATTTATAATCCTCTATTTTCAGGCATTATAAATCTTGTATGAACTACTTTCAGACATCGTTAACAATTATAATATAAATGTAATATTTGCTCGTACAGCACGATATTGTCTGTATCTAAAAGAGTGTCGGACTCATATCTAAGGTGGGTGGCCATAAAAACTGGACATAGATCTACATTGTTAGAGTGGACGATACTGGAGTGGACGATGTTGATGAGACGTTGTTCTAATACTCAGAGTCTCTGACATCTTTAACTAAAGATTTCAAGATTTTATTTCAAAAGGCATAAACATTTTACAATGTCCGTCGCCACAAACAGAATGACGGTTACAAATACTAGTAGTATATGAGAAAAGTATGTAGTAACTAAATACAAATTATTTTTACAATGACATTTTGATATTGTAAAGAACCACAATATATATTGTATTTCAATATATGTTTGTAAATAATTGTATATTATATATAACAATATTAGTATATGAAAACAATCAATTAGTCGTTCTTTCACCTAATACATTTGCGAAGTAGATATATTTATACTAAAACCGTGAATAAGACACGTATGACATCAATATTGATCTTACAACCAGGTTATAAGTTCTGTAGCAGTCTGTAACCATAGTCTAACCCAAAGAATCAACATCTTTGAGTGTTATATAGCCAACATGGCAGTGTAAAAGTAATTTTATACAAAAATAGTGTGACCAGAAAATAAGTAATAATAATAATATTGATATGAATCAATAATCAAGACTAATGCACTCACTTTTGGTGTATACATGTGCAGGAGACCATCTACTGCTCCCCGAAGTGTGATACCTCGAACAAAGAATATAAGTAACACAATGTATGGAAATGTTGCTGTAAAATACACAACCTGCAAATAAATATAAAAAATGTGATTATAATGACACCGATATTCTCAAAAACTACGATTTGGATAATCAGTTTAAATATATGACCTTGAAATTGGAGATTATTTAGCAATTAAGGTCACGTGGGAAAAGGAACTTGTTTGTACATATGCACGACCTAAACTTCTTTGGTTGTAAATAATACAATTATTGTGAAACTTCCTTGACTGAATATTAAATATACATGCATTTCTTTAAATGCTTACTTTATATTTTATTTAGAGGTCAACGTCATATAGCAAAACGTTCAAGTTTACAGGTTTTGCGAATAAAATGACGGTGTTAGCCCTCTTCCACCCACCCTACAGGACAAAATAGGCACATAAATAACATAAATATATTTATAAACAAACGAGATATTCTAGATAATGGGAACTATTTCTGCTGTTAATGTCCACGTCGATGTAATGAGACATACAGAGCTTGTCCCAATATAATCATACATTATTGTTCAGAGAGCAGACATGCTCGAAGACTGACGTGTACTATCACTACACACAATATTCATGAAAAGACAAGATGTGTATATGTTTGTGTGTATGTGTGTGTGTTAAAATAATTCATGTTTGTTGTCTTGTTTATTGATGTTATTATACTTTATTACGTAAATGGTATAATATACCGCCGTAGTTAATAATTTCTGTATTGATTGTACACTTATAATAAAGTATATGAGATATATCAAGACGGTATATATAGGTTTTTGATTTTACTAATCACATAATTGTTATTATATAATGTCTTCAGATAAAAAATGTTTTTGTGTTCAAAATGTTTTCAACTAGAGCTTAGATTTAATCAACCATTTAAGAATTTTGATTAAAAATTATTACATGACATAATCTCGTATTTACTAACCAGGTCTCGAGGAATTAAATTAAGCCTTCCAAGAAGAGAATTAGAGACTGTATCTTAACAAATAGATTTAATTTCAAAATAATAATATGACCTGACAGTTTCTATTGTAATAAGATTGTTAAAATCGTGTTGATCAGAGATTAAAACTACAGATCAAAGCTGATTGAAGGTCACGCTACGTTGTTTAACTGAACCACTGATCCAAGATTTGATATAACGAAACATTTTTTTTTGTGTGTATAAATATTTAATCCATTTCAAAATAAAAAAATTAACTCGAGATATTAAGTGATTTTAGATCTAACCTACTTTATATATCAAAATATCAAAATTGCTTATACGCAAATAATTTGATGTTTTTATGCTACGGTGTGACATAAAAAAAAACAACAAAAAACAAAAACAAAAAAGCAAAAAACAAAAGCAAACAAATAAACGGTTTAAAGAAATACTTAAAAAGAAAATTAAAGAAAAAAAGATAAGCTTTTCCTTTTTTAATTTTAATAGGTCTTTCTAGTCGAACTTTTTTGTTTTGTCCAAGTATGAATCCTTTCCATACATAAATGACAAATTAAAAAAAAAAATAACCAAACTTGAATCATTTTACGGTCAATGTCATTTAAAGGTCAAGGTCATATCTAAATCATTTGACGGTCAATGTCTTTTAAAGATCAAGATCACATCTAAATTATTTCACATGACTGTTTTGTCACAAGTCTTGTTTTGTCCACGTATGAATCAAATCTTTACATAATTAACAAAATTATGACAACTTAACCGAAATTTAATACTTTGGTCTTGTCGGTCAAGGTCATTTATAGTTCAAGGGTAAGGTCAGTTAAACTTTTCCAAAAGGTTGTTTTGTCCAAGTAATAATCCATTGATTAATTACCAAGTTACAGCCAGTTATAGCAATAATCAGTGAAAATGAAATCATTTGATCACCAGTCAAGGTCATACAGTAGTCAAAGTCAACTACTTAAGTTTGATATATATGAAGGGTCTGACCTAAAAGATGTTGTGTCTGAATATGAAGTTTATCCATTCATAAACAACAAAGTTATAGCTACTAACAGAAAAAAAAGAATTTCATTAATTTGACATTGACAGTCAATGTCAATTAAGGTTAGTCTCGTCTACTTGAAGGTCTTGTGCGGAGGATTGTTGTGGCCAAGTATGAAGACAATACAACAAAAACTTAAATAGTTATGGTCAAGTTTAAAGTTTGCGGACGGCTATGGCAACGCCGCCATGACTTAACAATCAAAGTTGAGCTAAAATAATCCTATTAAGACTTTATTCTTAACATTACATTATCTTTCTTGGAATTCTTTACTTAATAATCTACATATTGCACTAGAAAGTCATCTTAAAATCTAGACGGAAGTTTAATTAACTGTAATTTATCTACTTGAATTATTACATCCGGGATAGTTTTCAATTGAATTTGTTTTGAATCATCTCGTTAAACTAACATTAAATCAGGAACGTTGTATATCTGTTTATGTTCCTACATTATATTATTTTTCATATACCTTCACTGTTTGTCTGTTTATGTTCCTACATTATATTATTTTTCATATACCTTCACTGTTTGTCTGTTTATGTTCCTACATTATATTATTTTTCATATACCTTCACTGTTTGTCTGTTTATGTTCCTACATTATATTATTTTTCATGTACCTTCACTGTTTGTCTGTTTATGTTCCTACATTATATTATTTTTCATATACCTTCACTGTTTGTCTGTTTATGTTCCTACATTATATTATTTTTCATGTACCTTCACTGTTTGTCTGTTTATGTCTCCAACATGTATTTTTGTTTATGATCTGACATTGTTTTTCTGTTTATATGCACGTACCTAAACAATACCTACATTGTAGTTCCATTCATATACCTACATTTTTTACTATTTATATAGTACATTTTTTATTTTTATTCATGTACCTTGATTGCATTCTGTACGCATACCTACAATGTTCTTGTGTTTATTTACCCGTTTATTCAGTACGGGGTGGTAGGGGTAACAAACAAGAAATATACATGTATTAATATACATGTTTATATGATACATGTATGTTGGCTGGACATGAACAAATTGTTCTACATTGTTATTAAATTACTTTAACATTTGGGTTAAATAGAATTACGAAGTATAAAGATGTGATGAGCTGTGAGAGACTTATAACGTGAAGAAAGTAGACATTTTTCTGATTAAGGTAACAAATTATAAACACAGTTGCACATTGACTTCCAAATTCAGTACTTTTTGCCAAAAACGCAAAAGAAGCAAAAGATGTCCAATGAATAACTTTTGGTGAAAACTGTTACAGGACACAAAAATGAAGGTTTTGAGAAGAATAAATAAGAGCATATTGTTTAAGTCGTAATGGGTCTTTAACCCTTCAAAAAGAAATGTCTGCTAATATTTTCTGATAATTTTCTAGTATTTGCAATACGAACACAAGTCTTTATTTTATATTTGCATAAAAGTTAAGTCGGTGAAAGAGTATAGGCAGGAAATTGTATTTCTGCACCATAAATAATGATCTAATCTCTAGTTTTAAGAAGTTTTCCTTCCGCATTCTTCCGAGTTGACAACGCTAGACATTATTATGTTGTTTGTTTTTTTTATAGTTTTTGCTGGATTTTATTAACAAACACGCAAGTTGTTATAATTTATAAAAATATATATATAGCCCACCTTTATATAAAGATATCATGATATAATATGATTGCAGTTCGAAACCATAAAATGAGGAGTAGTACAATGGTAAACATTCAAGAGTAGGGCATCAAAGAGATGTTCTAATACGTAGATTTCTCTGCAATAAGTATATGATTAATATATACTAAATTAGACACCACCATCGTTATTTAAGAAACAGCACTCCTATAATGTTCTTTTCTGTGGCATTCGATATATTGTCTAAATAATACGATACATTATTCTTTAATTATTCTATACCTGGCTTCAAAACGGACATGAAATATTTAAATCTTTACTTGATTTTATGTTTAAGATCGTTGTACTGGTTTATAAAATATCCGATTTCAACACGGGTAATTTAACAAAAAAAAACATAATACATCAAGTCATATCCTATACTTCTATTCATGAATGCCCTTGATAAAATGTTTTGTCGCATTTATGTGTTTGTTGAATAAATAAACATTCATAGGTAAATGATGCAAGAGTTGCGCGTCACTGATGACCTTCATAAATTTCTTTATGCAAATATATACATGAAAAGTACGTGCACAATGCGGGACTGGCAAGCTATAGTATCAACAGTCACAGAAACGTAATACATTTGTGTATGTTCAAACATTTATAAAACACGGAGTAACGAACTCTAGTATAGACTGTCGTTTTGTCTAAACAACTGACCTCTTTATAAGATCAAATACTAATTAGAATTCATTAAATAAGGTATTATGTATTTAGTTACTGTTAGAGGAATACATAAATTACCTTCCCAGAGGACTTAATTCCCTTCCATATGCAAGCATAGACAATACACCAGGCAAATATGAGACAGAGCAACATCTTCCATTTAATACCGTCAGGTGACGACAAGCTCGGCGAGACGTCAAGCGCGTTCCTGTACCAGAAATATGACGTAGATCCTCCTTTAACGCATTCTTCCACCTCAATGGTTTTATTTTCAGCCTCGTTAAATTCTGTTGGACAGGAAGCCCATGGAAGTGGACTTTGGAATGAGTGGAAAAGATAAAAGAAACACCACATGATAATGGCGTTATAATATATAGCAACGTTAAATGACGTCACGGCGCTTGCTAGTCCGATTCCGCCTAACAGCGGGTTTATCTCGTTCCATACTATAACAGTCCCTTTCTGCATTTTTTGTCCAATAGCAAACTCTAAATACAGTATAGGCATTCCTTCTGCGAACAACATGATCAGGTATGGTATTAAAAACGCTCCTGAAACGAGAAAAAAAATAATTTTAAATTGCTTTTTTTTTTTTAAAAACTCTAACGTTCATCTCGATATAAATAATTATAGAATACAAAGAAACTCTGATTGCGCTGATTTAGTATTAATATAAGATCTGACCATGATCAAATTGTATATAGAGTGAGAGAAGTAAATACTTTTTTGGGGAGGGGGAGTTGTCAATGTATATGTACCTTCATTGTATAAATATTGGTAGCATCTTTTACGGCAATAAGGCGCTAGCGTTAAATGACATCTGAACATTAAAATATGCAAAGTTCTTACAGAACGACGGCATATATATTGACATATGATGAAACTAAATTCAGCGGAGATTTAATTGGTGGGATTTTAACTATCGTCGCGTATAAACCATTTATATTGAAGACAATGCAAACATTGTTGTTTAAACAGTGTCTAAAATTATTTGTATTTTTCCGCTTTTAAAGTTTTAACTTTTCCATATTTGAAAATTTTTGCTGATTATGTGTAATTAATTAATGCGTTCGTATCAAACATTATACAATGTATAAAGGCGCTTTTATTTATTGTAAATATTGACAGATATAGTCAGTTTCTGCCAACTTTGTACGTGCAATATAACTATAATAGTGTTCTATATTTTACGTTACAATTCACAAACTCAATCAGATTAAATAAAAACAAAAGATCTGACATTAAAACAAACTTTTGGGCACAGTCCAACTTTATTATTATCTTTTTCTTTTTTTTACATGCAAATACAGCATTAAACTCCTACATATTGCATCAAATCTATTGTTCCTATAAGGCCTATATTACATGTTTCTCGCCCAGTCATCAGATAACATCTAAATAACGTCAATAAATGATAAGTTTTTGTAATATGATGACATATTGCTTATAATTGCCGAATACAATGCGAATAAAAAGCCGGACTATATTTTCGTTTACAATGCGAATAAAAACCCCGGACTGCATTTTCGTTTACAATGCAAATAAAAAGCCGGGCAACATTTTCGATTACAGAGCGAATAAAAGCCGGACTACATTTTCGTTTAAAATGCGAGTGAAAGCCGGACTACATATCGTTTACAATGCAAATAAAAAGACGGACTATATTTTCGTTAACAATGCGAACAAAAAGCCGGACTACATTTTCGTTTACCATGCGAATAAAAATCCGGACTACATTTTGTTTACAATGCAAATAAAAAGCCGGACTACATTTTCGTTTACAGAGCGAATAAAAGCCGGACTACATTTTTGTTTACAATGCGGCATAATTATGCGAATATATCTTTTGATGTATCACAACAAAATTTAGTGTTTGAATGAGATCGTGTCATTTTCAAATTCTTCCGTATATTTAATTCATTTAACTGACACTAAATTGTTCATTAAATGCTATCTCGTTTAATCAGTTTATCACATTCGCACAGTGTGAAGATTCAGACATAATTTAACTTAAAATCAGCATTAACAAAAAATCAACGATTTCGATAACAGTTTAAAGTTTTTTGTACAGACAATTACTACGGTTGATACTAAGAATTTATTACTCTATAAAAATGGTGTATAATGATATTTAAAAAACCCATTAAGACTTAAATATTTGTATAATTTACTGGACATATAATGAAATTTTGTGCTGTGTCATTTATCAACATGGGGGAATATCTGGAAAATAAGTAAATGTAATATGTAGACTAGCTGATATAATGTTATATGTAATAAAGATGATATATGCAGATGTCAGATGCAGTAAAGTTATTTCATTTATCGGTTGAATGACAGTAATAAGTAATGCAACGCCTGTATTGACTGGTGAACAAATATAAACATAAATAACTGTAAGTTCTCAGAATATCCTTGACTCCTTAAAATACCACCATTCTCGATATTCGTGCATGTATTGTGCACGTGCAGAAGAACAATAATTTTATTTCGTATTTGCATGTCATTTCGGCACTGACATATTTCCTGTAGGAGATAACGTTCATATAGAAACGTTCCACTGGCATACATATACAATGTCAATTTTATTACAGTAAAGGTTCAACATTGTAAACGATTTGTCAATTAGACCGGTAATTTACTTCAGATGATTTCCGCAAACATACAACTTTTTTGAGTATATATTAGTATAACACATGTTTACTACTTTAAAGAAGTTAACATTAAATTATAAACTGACATAGTTCATGCAAATGTTTAATACACGTGTTCGCTGAAAGAAATGCTACACAACACCACGTTTATGTCAAAAGGCTACACAACACTACTTAATACCAATAGGGCTTCACAACATTACTTAAATGTCCAAAGGCTAAACAACACCGCTTCAATGCCAAAAGGTTGCACAACATTAACTGAATTGCACGACATTACTGTACTATGAAAAAGACTACACAACATTGCTGTTCGAACTGAAAGCCATGAGGTTAAACTTTAGCATTGTATAAGAAACATAATTCAATTTCTTTCTTTAAATATTTTATTTGCGCAAAAAACATATAATGAAAATTACATTATTTTATCATTCATTCATCATTCACTGAAGATACTGGGTTGTTTAGATTTTATCAACTTGATCATGGCTTGGTTTATTGTCATCAGCGGACATTGTCCTCGTGAAGAAAGGAAGCAGAACTCGTGTGTAGTTCATCTGAAGTATAATTGCCCTTTACAAGTGTCAATTTACGAGCGGTTTTTATTTTCTATTAAAATAACAGGGATTCTTTTGATTGAAGAAACCATAGGTCTGGGTTTAACAAGGTTTTGGACAATGATTTAAAATCATATTAGCATGTGCGGATCCGGGACAAGAGGCATTCCATATTTCAGAGGGCGTTATGAATTTTAATGTTGTTGTTGTTTTTCAGAGGGGTTATGAGTAAGTTATTAAAAAAAATGTAAGTTCGATTTCATATTTTCTAAGATTTCAATATAATAGCCAAATCCGAGGAGGGGTCATGACCCCCTTCCCCCTTCTCACTCGGGATACCCGCCATATATAAGACATACAAATGAATGTACTATTTTAACGACATTATCTCTAACTACCCCGTGTACCGTATCATAATTATTTTAATGCTAAACCTTACACATTGAATAAAATGAACAAAAAAAAAACGGTATTGGGTGACAATTTGAACTAACCTTTGTCGGTAATCTATGTTTGAAATCATTTTTGTCCAATAGAATTGCAGTATTTTAAAGGAATGGTAACACGTTTAGTTTAGTAAATCAGCTACCTATTAGTCTGTTTAATAAATCGACAATTTAGAAGAAGAAGAAATTTCAAACACTAAATAAAATAGAATCAAAGGCTGTGCCATTCTTGATATAATTGTAGAGATTATTGTTTATAAGCACAGCCATTCGGTTAATGTTACTTTAAACACTAACCGATGTAGTGTTTGAAATTATTTTTTCTCAATGTTCGATTGACTAGACTTATTTAGCTGATTTTTAGCTCAACAGTAATGTGTACGATTCATTTAAAATACGCTAAATTCTAGAGAACAAAATAATTCCAGAACAATATTTTTTGTAAATGCTCACTAACACTTTTGATATAATTATAGTGTTTGAAATCATTTTTGTCCAAAATAATGGCAGTATATCAAATGACTTATAACACATTTACTTTGGTAAATCAGCTAAATTCAATCAGTCTTTTATAAAAGTAATTTCAAACACTAAATTGTTTAGTGTTTATAAAATTGAATTTAATTTTGTAAATGTTTACTAATAAACACAAACCTATATACATAAAAAACCGATTTAGAGAAAAATGTGAAAAATGCTGTTCTTTTTTTTAATCAATCTTATTTTAAAGTATGAACATTAATTACAAAGTTTTATTAATAGTTGTTGTTTATTGTACCAATGTTCAATATTTCAGTATCAAGGTCAAACATGCGTGCACGTGTTTAGATAGGAACACTGATGCTTCAGCCGTGATATATTGTGACTTTTCTCTAGGAAAATAATTCCACGTGTTGGTGTGGTGTAAAATCTCGGTGGCTTATCAATCTATGCTGTACCACAGTTCTAGGAAATATATATTCTGCTTTTTGTTGTCTGTGTAGAAAATGATACACAATCTAAATATAAAGATCATTTATACATGCGCATGGAAATAATAACAACTATGACATTGGCGAAGATCACGTTTAAGTACAGATATAAATTGCTCGTTTTATTTACAGAAAGGTGATGTTCTGCACGAGTTTTTATTGGTTTAATAATTCAATGGTATCATTGTATGCACGTTGCTTTCATGAACTGGAGTCATTAGCTTACTTACATGTGTACATGTTTAATAAATATAGTTGATTTGACTTTTGTGGGTGTTTTGTTGTTGTTGTTGATTTTAAGTTTGTTAACCTAATGTAAAAAAACAAACAGGCACAATTAGTGTCACCCAAGAATGTTTAATGATATATGGTTATTGTTATAGGTATGTTATTAACATCATTCATTAAACGGTACATTAAAGTAACACAAAATCCGTAAAATGTTAACATTTTGCATATCTGGTTTTAATTAAACTTGAAATGAAGCCAAATATATGACGAAATGCACTTATTTCTCGTTGTAATATTAAGTGTCAATTAATGTAATATTATACTTCGTACGTTTAAACTTGATTATTATTATTATTAGAATGTTTAGATTTCACTATCTTGTCTTCAATGACTTATTAACGTATATGTATAAAAACACACAATATTTACGCGCCATTTTTACAGATATAATCAACATTTTATAAATCTTGAAGGAGAAAACGTGTAATTTAACACGTGTTTATAAACACAAAAGCTCTGCATATTTTATAAAATCGGTCACCATACACACAAGTATCCATCGATTTTAACAGAGTATTACGGCGAGGTTTGTAAAGATGGCGCAAACTACAAATATAATATAAATTGATGTTGCTGTAGAACGAAATCAGTCCATTTGCAATAGCATTTCTAGTGAATAATTATTTAGAAGCGTTTCCAAGGAAACGCATGCATATTGCAATTAGCAGCGTAGATTAAAATAGACATACCGCCGCCGTGTTGCTGGACTAAATACGGAAATCTCCAAACATTTCCTAATCCCACAGCATAACTGATCACCATAAATATATACTGCCATTTAGAATCCCATGCTTGTCGCTTCTTTAAGGGTTTTTTAGATCCAGTTTCTGTGTTTAAAGGCTCTAATTGTTCCTCAGTATCGACATTGTGTAACTTTTCCTTCGTCATAATGTTTTCTTTATAATCGATATTTAACAGCTAATGTTGTTAATTTACTCTGTCTTGACTTTTCACTTATAAAACGTAAAACAGACCTTTTTTAAATAAGTTCTACAAATATTTTTTATCCGATTAAAGCACTGTACTGGTTTATTTCATGTGTTTAAACTCTCACAGAATATAGAGGTATACTCCACGTGGCCGGTTGTATTAGCAAATAAAACATATTCGCTGTAGAGAATAGTTGTATTTCAGGCTATACAAATTTAATGTTAAGTTAGTTACACTAAAGTCTGTTTATCTTATTGGCGTCGAATGGTTTTTTTAAATGCCAAACGTATCTAAATGATTGCTGCTAAAACAATTGGAAGGTATCGATGACTTATTAAAAAGGTCTTAATTTAGAGTCAAAAGTAAACCGGTATGTAACGTACGTTATCTGTTATCGGATAGAAAAATGCGTACTCATACCAAAACCCCTGCAAGTGGCGCTAATAAAATGTTTTTTTTTTGTTTTCGTTTTTGCTGTTGTTGTTGTTGTTTTCTTTAAAGTAAATTTTGTAATATATTTAGTTTCTATATAAAGGAAAAAGTATTCAATTGGATGAATAACGATACATTTGTATTTGTAAATTAATCAGAAAACGAGCCAAACTTCACAAAAAAGCCAAACAAAACAATACCGATTTAGAAAAACTAGAAACGATGTCACTGCACTAATTAGAAAATCCAGATTAATGTTTGTCAAAATAAACTAAATGAAAAAATAAACTCATATAATATAAGTAATAAAGAATGATAAAAATGTAGCAAAACACAAAAAAGTGTCTTTAAAAAAATACTCGTCCGAAGTAAAACCGGCTAACTTGAATATATTAGTTCTTAGTTTTCCATGCAAAGAAATGTAAGAATAGCTTGAACAATGGCATTATAATTTCTTCTTAAAAATGGAACACTTTAAGATGAATATGTTTCTAACAGAACTTGTCGTGTTTCGGTAAGTGAACTTATATATTTTCTAACATCAATCATTATTTTTTTAGATACTAGATTAACATGCAAAAATATATGAAAATTATAAACATTACATCACTAGAATACATCAATAATCATATATTCTAACGTCTAGACACTTTTGAACAGGGTACCTGATAAGTTTTGATATATTTCTCGTTCATTTGGACAAAATTTAAAACTCAAATCTTGCGTAAAAAAAAAAACTCAGTAAGTTCTTCCCTAAAATAAATTGTTCACTAGAAAATAGAGATCTGAATGCTGTGTAAAATCTTTTGTGGGAGGAAATATTGTTAAACAGGACTTAAATATCTGAACAATTTAACTAGAAAGTTAAAGAACTATCCTGTACATTTTATTTTAGAACTATCCTTTACTTTTATTTTGTAATGGCAAGAACTATCCTTTAACATTTTTGTATAGAAATATCTTAAAATGTTTTACATTTTAAATCAGAATGACCAATGAGATTCCTAGATTTCATTTTGTAATTTTTTAAAAATTACCAATGAATATTCTTCTTTAATGTAAATTTTACAGGAAGTCAAACTGACAAAGAAGCAGTCGTCAAAATCAATACCTTCATTAAATTACAATAATGTTATCGCAACAACCAATCAAGATAAGGTAGAAATTCTGAACGATTTTATAAGCAGACGATAAAGATTCATCACTTCCTCCCCCTACAGTGACCACGCCCGTTTAACTCACAACGAGTGAAAAATGTCCACCGGTAAAAATGTTGTGAGCAACTTCCGTTCCTCGTTGTGAGCACCCATCTATGACGAGTGACACGATAAACAAGGTGACTTTTTCATAATTTTTGAAGATTACAGACATTTATGTAAAAATATCGGAATGCAGTTAGCTAGCGATGTGTTTTCCGAGTATGCACATGTAAAGATATTGTCTGTTGGTGGACAATTTGATGGAAATACCGTGCGACGCAGTCACTCGGGGTAGCTGGAAAACTGGAGACAACTTCTCTTTGGACCTTATTTAACATCGAAAACGTCGATTCTGGTGACGTTTTGTGCATTCTAACCTAAAACAGATGCCCACAAGTCTTCAGCGTAAATTATTATCTGAAAGTCTTCATAGAAACGTAGATATGTATACCCTTTTTGCTTTAATCCTCGTTGTGAGCACCATAACCTCGTTGTGAGCAAGACAAGCGCAGTGCTTGTCTGGTTTTAATATGTAATTCAAATGGCAAGAATACAATTTTCAATCTACCAAAAGCAATCAAATGTTTTTGTACAATAGTTTTTCTTTGCAATAGTTCTTCTTTTTCTTTTTAAAATTTTTTTTGAAAATTATTCTTCATATTCACAAGTCATCAGATTAACAGAAGAACTAATCAGTGTAGGTAAATCAGGTATTTTATTTCGTATACTCTAGTTAGGCTCGAGTGAACATCACGGGAGTTTATGAATATTTCAACAATTTCACAGTCTGTGTGATACACACATACACGTGTTTATCCTGAGCTGAAGACTGACCAAGTTATGTAAAACAAGAACTATCACGGTAAGTTGACAATGCCCCTGAAGTGGTGATTTGTCCTTTGATTTATGGACCAGATAGATTATTTGTTTTTGGACAAGTAGATCTTCAATGTGAAGGTAATTCAATGTCAAGGTGAAATAAATATAGGTCAGTTGGAAGGTCTTGTCCAAAGGGGCATTGTGTCCTAATATGAATTAAATCAACTTACTTATAAAGAAGTGATGACCAATGTTAAAGTTTTTGGATGTTCTAGAAGGTCATTCACGGTACAAGATAAAAAAAAATACTGATCAGTTTGAAGATCTTGCCTAGGGGTGTTTTTTTTCAAAATATGAGTAGAATCCGTTTACTAATAAGGAAGTTATGACCAATTTTTTAAGTTTTTGGACAATTTGACCTTCAAGGTGAAGGTCATTCAGGGGTCAATGTCAAAATAATATAGGATAGTTGAAAGGCCTTGTCCAAAGATGTGTTGTGCCAAAACATTATGCCAGGACATTATGGCCAATCTTAAATGTTTTTGGACAATTTGACCTTCAAGGTAAAGGCCATTCAGGGGTCAAGGTAAAAAAAATACAGGTCCGTAGGAAGGTGCTAAGGGATGTTGTGTTCAAATATGAATCAAATCCGTTTACTAATAAGGAAGTTAAGGCCAATGTAAAAGTTTTCGGACAGATTGACGGACGTACCAACTTTTGATATTTATGAGGCAAATCAGCTCATAAACACCACCTGGACCAACGTCAATTAGCAAAATTAGCTCAAAAAATAGCTCTTAATTTGAATCTTATGAGTTTTTGTTCTTTATTTAACTACGGAATGAAGCTCATAAATATCAAATATTTGCTCGGACTGACAGACGGACAGTTCAAAACTAATATGCCTCCCTTTGGGGTATGCACGACGTCTTGCAAAGAAATGCTGCTGTGCAAAAACGTTTTAATTGCTGTGGTAGATTGAAAATTATATTTTCACCATCTGAATTACATATTAAAACCATACACGCACTGCGCTTGTCTTGCTCACAACGAGGTTATGGTGCTCACAACGAGGATTAAAGCAAAAAGGGTATATCTTCGTTTCTATGAAGACTTTCAGATAATAATTTACGCTGAAGACTTGTGGGCATCTGTTTTAGGTAAGAATGCACAAAACGTCACCAGAATCGACGTTTTCAATGTTAAATTAGGTCCAAAGAGAAATTGTCTCCAGTTTTTCCAGCTACCCCGAGTGACTGCGTCGCACGGTATTTCCATCAAATTGTCCACCAACAGACAATATCTTTACATGTGCATACTCGGAAAACACATCGCTAGCTAACTGCATTCCGATATTTTTACATAAACGTCTGTAATCTTCAAAAATTATGAAAAAGTCACCTTGTTTATCGTGTCACACGTCAAAGATGGGTGCTCACAACGAGGAACGGAAGTTGCTCACAACATTTTTACCGATGGACATTTTTCACTCGTTGTGAGTTAAACGGGCGTGAGTGACAATCACACCGGTTCTATCGAACATCTGCATTAAGCAACATGATGTGACTGACTCGCTATCTTAAATAAATCCCTCAAAAGCATGTGGCCAAGACTTTGTTAGCCCTAAATTACTTCGAAAACTTGCACATGTTTTAGCCGGTCTACTCACCGCCTATTTTAACAAACTTTTATGCTCTTCTACCTTTGCTATACACCCTGGAAACTTGCTAATGAAATCTGATCCATCAATTCCCAAATTTGCCGCTCTATTTCATTGGTAAGCTGTATGGAAAGATCTGTCCTTAAGTATCTGTACAATCATCTTGTCACTAATAATTTGCTGACTCCTCACCAATCAGATTTTATAAGAGGTGACTCAACATTGAATCAACTAGTTTACCTATACAATGATATTTGTCAAGCTCTCGATCAGGGTAAAGAGATTAGGGCTGTATTTTGTGACATCTCGAAGGCTGTTCATCGAGTATGGTACAAGGTCTTCACTACAAACTTCATTGGATGTAAATGGATCGCTTCTTCGATGGTTCTCCCCCTATTTGTCTTCCAGGCGACAAAGAGTCCAGTACCGAAATGTATCCTCAGCATGGGTTTCTATCTCCGCAGGTGTCCCTCAAGGTTCAACTCTTGGTCCTCTTTTGTTTCCTGTCTATATCAATGACATCATAAGTGACTTATATCTTCACTAACCTTCACATAAACATATCTCATGATACCCGTTAGGAAAAACCACATTCATCTATTTCTAAGGCTTGGAAAAGAACTGTGTTACTCAGAAGTTTTAAACTTCTTTTATCACGAATAAGTTTAGAACGCATGTATTATTCTTTCGTCCGCCAACTTCTTGAATATGCTGATGTAGTTTAGGATAACTTAACTGAAGAACTAAATAAGGCAATAGAGTCCGTTCTTAATCAAGCAGCTAGAATAGTTGCAGGCGCTACTTGTATTCAACAAACACTTATATATGTACATTTATATATTTAAGGGTGTTGTGTTTAGAGCATATTCCATGTGCATGGATAAGTTTATTGCTTTTATATCATTTGTTTCCAACATGGTTTTATTTCAAAACATTTCTTTTGTAAAAAAAAGGGTCAGTTCTGGACGTATGGTTGTACAATTTGGTATTATGTTTTCATTTTTATAGAAATATAAAATGCTAATGGAATTGAGTATTTTAGCAATGTATTAAACTACAACATTAAAGGGATACTCATACAAATT